AGTATTTTCTGTTAATCATGGGAGTTCTCTGTGCCAACTTTGGTTCAATTCCATTGTTGGTGCATTTCACAATGCTCTTTGTTTACATGTTAACTATAAATCCCAGCAACTACAACTCCTAAATGGCAAAATCAATCCCCCCGCCAATCCCACCAGTATTCAAATTTGGGCATACCGGATATTTGTGCCAAATTTGCTCCAGTGAATGAAAATACATCCTGCAGATCATTATTTACAAGCCGATTCATAATGTTAGGGTTATGGTTGGGGGTCACCACAACATCAGGAACTGTATTAAGGGGTCGCGGCATTAGGAAGGTTGAGAACCACTGGACTAGACACTAAGTCCAGACAACACAGGAGACACTATGAATTTATATTTTATTGATTGTTTAGTTTTTAATAAATGTTATGCTTTTAATTGTATTTATGACATTGTAAGTATTGAATTTTGCCCTGTTAACTGTCTTGAGTCGCCTACGGGCTGAGAAAGGAAGTATACAAATACAGTAAATAAGTAAATAAGTAAATACATCTTCTCTTCCATTCCTGTTTAAATAATCAACTCTTCCCACAGTGTAAATAAAAGACTGGTGTGCAGACAGAGAGCAAATCATAATGGGAATGTTTGGAATGAGGTGGAAGCAAAAGGAAGAATAGGAAGGGCGAACTCAATAAATAAATGAATCACAACCATCAAAATTACCAAGCCACTGGTAATGGGATTGTTTAAAAACCACTAAAGGAGAGAACTCTACAACACCAAAGCAGCATATTCTACTGTCAAACTGTGAGAAAGTTCAACCTAATTATAAGGACACAATTCCAACGACAAGGCTGGGGAAAATGCTGCAGAAGACACTACAGAGGTGTCATTGATCAGAATACGCAAAGCTGGGCAACAATTAGCAAAGCAAATCTTGCAATCTGCTCCAAACTGGACCTCAAGGAAAGTTAGTTTCCTACTTATCACATTTAGTCAATCAAAGGAAGAAACCATGAAAATGAACAAAATCTGGCTACCAGTATTAAAAAACTCAAAAATTACAACAGCAAAACAACAGAGGGGAAACAAACAGGCACATAAAATCACTCTCAACAAAAGATTCCCCCCAGGCACGTCCAAGCCATTGAATGCTAATCAAGGTGATCAGCTGAAACATTCACACCTAGCCCCAGCAGACAAGAGTCCTTTGTCTCACCGTGGTCATTCCACAGATATATAAACCCATTTTTCCTACTTCCAACAGACCTCACTACCTCTGAGGATGCTTGCCATAGATGCAGGCGAAACGTCAGGAGAAAAATTGCCTCCAAAAATTGCCAGCCATATAGCCCGGAAAAACCTACAACAACCCAGCAATTCCTGTCCGTTCTAGTTTTTGCTTTAGCAGTGCATTCCAATCCTAAAGCAAAAAAAAAAAGATACTTAAGCATTAAGGATCCAATCAGTACCTGTCAGGTAGGCAGTAAACTGTTTTGGTCCACACCGAACTGGGTAGCGAGTGGTAGTCTTCAGTGTCTTTTGCTCTGCTTGCGAGGGGTCACGGGGAGTGAAAACAGTGCCATCGGAGGTCTCTCCCCACCACCGCACCCGGATCAGGAAGGAAGATGGTGGCTTGGAAACCATCCATAGGATTTTGCTAACGGTCAGCTTCAGAAAGCAGCGTAGCTGTCCTTCCACGAGAGGCGGCAAGCTTGTCGAAGGGGTAATGTCACTGAGATCTGCGAAAAAGCATTAGAACACAGGACAGTTATTTAGACAATGTGAATGATTCATAGGAGCATAGTGCATCAATAGGAGCATAGTATCTAGAGATATAGGGAAGTCATGCTACCCCTCTATTTCGCCTTGGTTAGACCACACCTGGAATATTGTGTCCAATTCTGGGCACCACAATTCAAGAGAGATATTGACTAAGCTGGAATGTGTCCAGAGGAGGGCGACTAAAATGATCAAGGGTCTGGAGAACAAGCCCTATGAGGAGCGGCTTAAGGAGCTGGGCATGTTTAGCCTGAAGAAGAGAAGGCTGAGAGGAGATATGATAGCCATGTATAAATATGTGAGAGGAAGTCATAGGGAGGAGGGAGCAAGCTTGTTTTCTGCTTCCCTGGAGACTAGGACGCAATGGGACAATGGCTTCAAACTACAAGAAAGGAGATTCCACCTGAACATGAGGAAGAACTTCCTGACTGTGAGAGCTGTTCAGCAGTGGAACTCTCTGCCCGGAGTGTGGTGGAGGCTCCTTCTTTGGAAGCTTTTAAACAGAGGCTGGATGACCATCTGTCAGGGGTAATTTGAATGCAATAAAGCTATTGTCCTCCCAACCCTGCTATATGCCTGCAAAACGTGGACTGTCTACAGACATCACATGCAACTCCTGGAACAATTCCATCAGCGTCGCCTCTAAAAAATCCTGCAAATCTTTTGGGAAGACAAGCGGATAAATGTCAGCGTGCTGGAAGAAGAAGCAAAGACCACCAGCATTGAAGCGATGCTCCTCCGCCAACAACTCCACTGGACCGGCCACGTTGTCCAGATGCCCGATCACCATCTCCCAAAGTAGTTGCTCTACTCCGAACTTGGAAAACGGAATGTTGGTGGGCAGGAAAAGAGATTTAAAGATGGGCTCAAAGCCAACCTTAAAATCTCTGGTATAGACACTGAGAACTGGGAAGCCCTGGCCCTTGAGCGCTCTGGCTAGAGGTCAGCTGTGACCAGCAGTGTTGAAGAATTCGAAGAGGCACGAATGCAGGGCGAAAGAGAGAAATGTGTCAAGTCCTAGACAATTGGGAGGCGTCCAACATGTGATCCAATACAGCAGCCAGCAGAGTGATCTTGTTCACTCATCTTGTTGTGCATCAGATAACAACAACAACAAAAAGGTATTAATAAGGTAATAATAATAATAATAATAATAAAGAGAACTGAGAAGCTCTGGTCCTTGAGTGCTCTGACTAGAGGTCAGCTGTGACCAGCAGTGCTGCAGAATTTGAAGAGGCACGAATGGAAGGTGAAAGGGAGAAATGTGCCAAGAGGAAGGCGCATCCTCAGGACCGCCAACCTCAAAACCTGTGGCACTGGGAAGCCCTGGCCCTTGAGTGCTCCAGTTGGAGGTCAGCTGTGACCAGCAGTGCTGCAGAATTCGAAGAGACACGAGTAGAGGGTGAAAGAGAGAAACGTGACATTGTAGAATGACACAATGACATATCCATTCTATTCCACGCAGGCTATGGGGTGCATCTACACTGGGGGCTTAACGCGGTTTGATACCGCTTTAACTGCCTTTTGCCCCATGGCGAATTGTAACTTCCCCAAGATTCTCACCCTTCCGCTTGCGTCCAGGCCGAGAGGAGGAGGACGGGGAGGAGAAGCCCTTCGCCGCCTTTCTCTTCTGCTTCATCCTCCTTCAACTACTCCAAGGAGGCTTCAACTACGACTAGGCCGCTTCGCGTTGCTTGGCAACGCAGGCCGCGGCTCGCAATGCTTCCTGGGAAACCGGCGGGAGGAAAGCCCGGCTGCGGCCATTCCCCGAACCGCGCATGCGCGTGTCTCTAAGCCGGCTCTTTCTTATTGGCCTCTCAGCCGCAGAGAACTCCATTTCCCGTGCTGCCCTGAACTGCGCATGCGTGTGTCTCTAAGCCCGCTGTTTCTTATCGGCCTCTCAGCCGCAGAGAACTCCATTTCCCGTGCTGCCCTGCGCGTACTTCCGGTATACGTCGCGGCCATTCCCGAAATGCGCATGCGTGTGTCTCTAAGCCGACCCTTTCTTATCGGCCTTTCAGCCGCAGAAAACTCCATTTCCCGTGCTGCCTTGCGCGCACTTCCGGTTACGTCAGAGACAGGCCCGGCGTAAAATGAAAGGAGGAAAAAGAAAGGACTCGATATCCCGTGATGCTCCGGGGCGGGGCTTCAAGGGAGGAGAAGCGTGCCGGGAGCGCGGGGCATATCGGGAGTTGTAGTCCGAGTGCCCTTTCTCGCCGCTTCCGGCCTACGTCAGAGACAGACCCGGCGTAAAATGAAAGGAGGAAAAAGAAAGGACTCGATATCCCGTGATGCTCCGGGGCGGGGATTCAAGGGAGGAGCAGCGTGCCGGGAGCGCGGGGCAGGCCGGGAGTTGTAGTCCCGGTGCCCTTTCTCGCCGCTTCCTGCCTTCCTGAGGGGTGGAAGCCATGTCCGCGCTGGAGAAGCAGCTGCAGCTGGGCCGCCTCCCGCCCCGAGGACCGGGCCCGGCCGGGATGGGCGCTCAAGGGGCCCCCAAGATGCGCATGGGGTGAGGCCCCAGATCTGGGGAGGGAGGGGGAGGGTGACGTCACGCGAGGGGAGGGGGCCGCGTGACGTCACGGGGAGGGAGGCAAAGAGTGACGTCATGGTGGGTTTTTTCACCTTTCAAAGGAATTCCACTACAATTACTATTATTGTTATTATTATTATTATGCATAAGAAGATTGATTAAGTATATGAAGATATTACTATTGGGTTTCTGTGAGTTTGATTAGCATTGCAAAGCCTTGCAGCTTCAAAGCCTGGCTGCTTCCTGCCTGGGGAAACCCTTTGTTGGGAAGTCTTAGCTGGCCCTGATTGGGTCATAGGAATTCCAGACAAGAATCAACCCAAAACCAACTAACAACACCCAACAAAGGATTTCCTCCCCCCCAGGCAGGAATCAGCCTGGCTTTGAAACTGCAAGGCCATTAAATGCTAATCGAGGTGGCCAATTGCAACATTCACACCTCCCTCAAACAGACAAGAGTTCTTTCTCCCACACTGGACCTTAATCCACAGCTATATAAAGCCTGACAAAGGATCCCCCCAGGCAGACATCAGCCAGGCTTTGAAACTGCAAGGCCATTAAATGCTAATCAAAGTGGCCAATTGCAACATTCACACCTCCCTCAAACAGACAAGAGTTCTTTGTATTGTCGAAGGCTTTCATGGCCGGAATCACTAGGTTGTTGTAGGTTTTTTCGGGCTATATGGCCATGTTCTGGAGACATTCTCTCCTGACGTTTTGCCTGCATCTATGGCAAGCATCCTCAGAGGTAGTGAGGTCTGTTGGAACGAGGAAAAAGGATTTATATATCTGTGGAAAGACCAGGGTGGGACAAGGAACTCTTGTCTGCTGGAGCTAGGTGTGAATGTTTCAACTGACCACCTTGATTAGCATTTGATAGCCTGGCAGTGCTTGGAGCAATCTTTTGTTGAGAGGTGATTAGATGTCCCTGGTCTTTCCACAGATATATAAACCCAATTTAGACCATGGGTATATAGCCCGAAAAAACCTACAACAACCCAAGAGTTCTTTCATCCACACTGGACCTTAATCCACAGGTATATAAAGCCCACTTGCCTAGTTTCCAACAGACCTCAGAGGACGCCTGCCATATTTGTGGGCGAAACATCAGGAGAGAATGCTTCTGGAACATGGCTAGTCAGCCCAGAAAAATCACAGCGACTCAGTGATTCTGGCCATGAAAGCCTTCGACAACACATAATTACAATTATTATTATTATTATTATTATTATTATTAAATTGTGGATGCAGTTAAGTATATAAAACTATTATTATTAGATATATAAGGATATTATTATTAAGTTGGTGATGCAGTTAAGTATATGAGGATATTTATTTATTTACAACATTTGTATCCCGCCCATATCAGCCCAAAGGCGACTCAGGGCGGCGTTATTATTATTATAATGATTACTACTACTACTACTTATTATTATTATTATTACATATATAAGGATGCAATTAGGTATTTGAGGATATTGTAATTATTATTAAATATATAAGGATATTATTAAGTTGGGGATGCAATTAGGTATTTGAGGATATTATTATTATTAAATATATAAAACTATTGTTATTATTAATAAGTTGGGGGATGCAGTTAAGTATATGAGGATATTATTATTATTAAGTATATAAGGATAATATAATTAAGTTGGGGATGCAATTACGTATTTGAGGATATTATTATTATTAAATATATAAGGATATTATTAAGTTGGAGATGCAGTTAAGGATATGAGGATAGTCTTCTTAAGTTTGGGGATGTGCTGGTTAGATTTGCCGGGAATTACAGTTCAACAACCTTTGTACGGACCTCATACTTTTCATTCTTTCTCCATTCGCAGCTATTTTAAGAAATATAATTGGCAGGTCCTTTTTAGCTGTTGGCTTCATGCGGATGGGGCATCCCTATAATTTGCTCTTGCTCTTGAGGTGCAGTTGTGTATTATTTATAGACTGTCCTGCTTTTCAGCTTGCATTCATTCAGTTGCAAGGTGCATTGTGCCTTTCCTAGAAAAAAGGCTCTTGAATGTAATAATAGTAATTACAATAGGCCCATTGGTATCCATGGGGTTGGTTTGGTTTCATCCCCAAATCCAGACTAGGAAAAGCCCTCTGAGTTTAAACGCCACACAGTTGAGTAGAAATGCAATCCGTTTATTGAAGACAATTAAAAAGCAGTAAAAGTAAAAAAGCACTTTAAAGGTATAGGTAAATCCAATTAGGAAGATAAGCTAGAACAAAATAGTCCAGGGAATTAGTTCATCAAAGTCCACACATATATATACACAAATATATACACACATATGGGAGCCCCCGGTGGCGCAGTGGGTTAAAGCACTGAGCTGCTGAGCTTCTTGATCGAAAGGTCGCAGGTTCGATTCCGGGGAGCGGCATGAGCTTCCGCTGTCAGCCCTAGCTTCTGCCAACCTAGCAGTTCGAAAACATGCAAATGTGAGTAGATCAATAGGTACCGCTCCGGCGGGAAGGTAACGGCGCTCCATGCAGTCATGCTGGCCACATGACCTTGGAGGTGTCTACGAACAACGCTGGCTCTTCGGCTTAGAAATGGAGATGAGCACCACACCCCAGAGTCAGACATGACTGGACTTAATGTCAGGGGACAACCTTTACCTATACACACATATACACAATATGCATGTACACATATAAACACACAAATACACAAATATATACACACACACACATATATATACACCCACATGTATATATGCAAACACACATATATACACAGATATATATATATACACACACACATATATATACACACACAAAACACATATACACAGACTAGGCCACAGCAACGCATGGCAAGGGATGGCTAGTTTATTAATAATAATACTTTATTTATATAATAAAAATGATAATAATAATAATAATATTTTTAAAAACTGGAACATGGGAAAGAACAGAAGAGGAGAAGAAGGTAATGAGCTAGATAGTATTATCTTTACTAGAATTAATGATACTATTGACAGTGTTTGGCAAGAAGGATTTGGCATTTCCTCTTCCAGACAGACAGACAGGCGGAAGCACAGAATAATACATGCAATTAAATGGATGCCTTTCTAGGATTTTTTCTAAGTAAGCAGAAGTTTACCCTGGAATTACCTGTAGGAGAAAGTGCCCAGTGAGGACATATTTTGTTGTGTGGGAAGATGAAACTGGGAATGCTGGTCTCACCGCTATGAGAATGAATTGTACTGTCATTATATATAAACTATCCATGTTTCTTCTCTCAGACCTGGAAGGAAACGTGACTATTCCCCAGTCCCGTGGAGCCAGTACTTTGAATCTATGGAGGACGTGGTTGTCGAGAGCGACTCCGGCAAGGATATATCCTTTCCTCTTCTTTAATTGAATTGTCCCTTCTAATGCGACATCATTAACGATGAAGCTTTGAAGCAGGGGAAGGTAGTAGTCAGGGATTGCAGGGATAATATTGGGCCCGAATCCCATTTTTTAAAAAAAACTTTAGCTATTTTTTAGTGTCTTTAAAAAAAAAATAGCTAAAGTTTTTTTGTTTTGTTTTTTGTCATGTCAGGAGCGACTTGAGAAACTGCAAGTCGCTTCTGGTGTGAGAGAATTGGCTGTCTGCAAGGATGTTGCCCAGGGGACGCCTGGATAACGTCCTTGCAGACGGCCAATTCTCTCACACCAGAAGCGACTTGCAGTTTCTTAAGTCGCTCCTGACACGACAAAAAAGTGTCTTTTAAAAAATGTTAATCAAAATGATTTTTAATTTTTTTTCTTTTTGCAAATTTTATGTGATTTTCTCTTTTTTCTTTTAATCGTGTTTTCTATTAAAACACAAAAAAGTTTCATATATAATAATTAATTTTATAACAATAATTTAAAATAGTTCACCCCGCTCCCCAGATTCGAACCTGTGACCTTTCGGTTAGTAAGTGTAGCAGCTCAGCGGTTTAACCCACTGTGCCACTGGGGGCTCCATATATTAGTATATAATATTAGTATCTAGCAGGAAGCAGTCAGGCTTTGAAGCTGTAAGGCTATTCAATGCTATTCAAGGTGGTTAGCTGCAACATTCATACTTACCTCAAGCAGACAAGAGTTCTTTCTCCCACCCTGGACATTCCACAGATATATAAACCTCACTTGCCCAGTTTCCAGCAGACTTCACGACCTCTGAGGATGCCTGCCAAAAAGCCAGGAGAGAATGATGCTGGAACATGGCCAGAAGCCTGGAAGACTCACAGCAACCCAGTGATTTCGGCCATGAACGCCTTTGACAACCCCCTAGGGAGGACTCAGAGACAACACATTAGTATAGAATTTAAAATATACAAAAATGCATATATTAAAAAAAATTAAATACATACAGCACTAAAATATTAATAGTCAAAAACTATCAAAACACATAAAATAGTCAAAAGTTAAAATTGTTTTAATTTTTAAAATAATAAAAATAAATAATAATTTTAATAATAACAATAATACAATTTCTAATAATAATTTAATAATAATAATAATTCCTATTCACCACTTCTCATGGCTCGAGATGGAGCCCCTGGTGGTGCAGTGGGTTAAAGCCCTGTGCTGGCAGGACTGAAGACCGACAGGTCGCAGGTTCGAATCCGGGGAGAGGCGGATGAGCTCCCTCTATCAGCTCCAGCTCCTCATGCGGGGACATGAGAGAAGCCTCCCACAAGGATGATAAAACATCAAAAAAATCATCCAGGCATCCCCCGGGCAACGTCCTTGCAGACGGCCAATTCTCTCACAACAGGATGCTCCTGACACAACAAAAAAAAAATAAAATGGCTCGAGATTAAAATAACATTAAGGGAATCCTACATACGTAAACCCTACACATTACATAGTACAAACAACACAACACACACATTTAATTTTTTTAATTATTCTACTATTCTATTATTGGAAAATTATGTACTGCAGGAAGTTTTTAAAATATGTTCTGGTCTTAATGTACCTTAATATAAGTTGAGCATCTCTTACCTGGATTTCTTTTTTTTTGTTATTTTTTTAAATAGTTTTTATTAGTTTTTATTAATACAAGAGTAAAAAAGACAAGAAAGAAAACACAAAACACACACCAGACTAATATACAAACAAACGATCCGTCGACAGACCAAACATATAGTATTAACATTAAAAACAGCAACAATATCAGACCTCCACCTCTCTCTAACATGGTATTTGGGATTATGTTTCAGCCAGTTCTTCAAAGATGTTCTTTTCTTACTCTTTCCTTTCTCTCTTTTTCTTACTCTGCTATGTTTTATATATATACATGTTCTAAAGTATATACATGCATATATACACATATACTCCTGCATGCAAATATATATCCTTATACACACATATATTTATACGTAAATTTTTCTTTTCTTTCTTTTTTTCCCACCATTCCCCTCACATCTGTTCACCTTTTCTTTCGTTCATTCATTTTCTTGAACTTACTCTTGTCCCCCAGTTTGTTTTTGCTACTCCTTTTATCTTTCACAGTTCATCTTATATGCTTTGTCTTTCTACGTGGATGTTAATCATTGATCTCTTACTATTTAATGTTATCATATTAATATCTTTATCCTCCTTTCCCTAAGCCACTCTTTAACGGGATTCCAATTTGTTGCTTTTACTGGCATATTTCGTGAGGCTGCCAATATGTATGTTAGATGGTCCATATTTATAATATCCAATATCTTCTCTATCCATTCTTCCTCTGTTGGTATTATCCTTTGTCTCCATACTTTGGCTAGAAGGATGCAGGCTGCTGTTATTAGATAAATAAATACTTTGTCAGTCTCTTTGTCCCACTTCTTGTCCGTTTACCTAGATTTCCAATATTTTAAATTTTCCACACTTCAGCCACTTGTGTGGAAAATTCAAAATATTGGAATTCCAGGTAAGAGATGCTCAACTTATATTAAGGTGCATTAAGACCAGAACATATTTTAGAAATCTCCTGCAGTCCATAATTTTCCAAAAACAATTATGACACCCATAGAATAATAATAATAATAGTAATAAATATGTGTGTTGTATTATATAATGGCTCAACTTTGTTTCATACAAACACAAAATTATTATTTTTAAAATATTATGTGTAAATTTACATTGCGTTGGGTGACCCCCAAATGTCTCACCTTTTGCAAAGCATCACGCTAGAGTTTTAATTGACAGGAAAATATTTTATGTAGAAGGAATAAGTTAAAGTTGGCAACTGGCAGCAAAGGTGGTTCACTTTGCATCTAAACTTCCTTGCATTTAAGATAGTGGTTACAACGTCCTTAACTGTTCATACACTTTTCGAATTTACAAGAGTGGCTCCGAAGGCCCTGTGTTGCTCCTATTGCACGGAGGAGGACATTCTGCACTCTCCTGGGCTGTTTTCACTGTAAGTAAGCTGTTTTGTTCACATTTTCCTCATTTTTTAACACTACTAGGGTTTAAAGCAGGCATGGGCAAACTTGGGCCCTCCAGGAGTTTTGGACTTCAACTCCCACAATTCCTACGGCTGTTAGGAATTGTGGGAGTTGAAGTCCAAAACTCCTGGAGGGCCCAAGTTTGCTCATGCCTGCCTTAGACTATCTCTCACTTCAGTATGAAAGGTCTTTTTTGGCAAACGTCTTCCATTGAGAGCGCTGACCCAGTTCTAGTTTCTCGTCTTGCCGGATTCCTGCAACGCTCGCAACCCCAAACCCGGCAACAGAACCCTTGAAGGAAACAAAAGGTTGTGCCATTTCCTTGGCCAAGAAAGGACAAGTGTTTGCCTGATTAGTCCTGACTTTTTCAGGAGTCTTTTCTCTCTGAAATACAGTACATTCGGTACTACAAGACTTGCCTCCCCAATTGTCTGCCAAATCGAGTCTCCATATAGCTGCTCATGTTGTTCTTCTCCCATCTGTCCATTCCTTCTCCTTGTTTTATTTTTCTTTCCCTCCTTTCTTCCTTCTCCCTTTCTCGTTCTTTCTTTCCCACCCTGATCCCTCCCCTCTTTTTGTTCTTCTCCCATCCATCTCTTCCTTCTGCCTTCCTTTCTTTTCCTTCTTTTTTAATTCCTTCCTTTCTTTCCTCTTCCTCTACCACCAACAAATCGCGAAGGCTGATCTGGCCGGGGTGGTCCATGCCTTGGTCACCTCCAGATTGGACTACTGCAATGCGCTCTACGTGGGGCTGCCCTTGAAAACGGCTCGGAAGTTCCAACTGGTCCAACGATCAGCAGCCAGGATGTTAACTGGGGCCCCTTACAGAGAGAGGTCAACCCTCCTGTTCAAGGAGCTCCACTGGCTGCCGTTTATTTTCCGAGCCCAATTTAAGGTGCAGGTGCTTACCTACAAAGCCCTGAACGGTTTGGGACCATCCTACCTGTGTGACCACATCTCCGTCTAAGAACCCACACGTTCACTTCGTTCATCTGGAGAGGCCCTGCTCGTGATCCCGCCTGCGTCGCAAGCACGTTTGGTGGGGACACGAGACAGGGCCTTTTCCATGGTGGCCCCCCGACTCTGGAACACCCTCCCCAAGTTCTTCAGAAAGAACTTGAAAACCTGGCTGTTCCGATGTGCCTTCCCAGATTAGGAAATCTCCAATACCAAGTCCCAGACGCACTTTACTAGTATTAAGATTACTACACACCGCACACTGCACTTGCCCTATATGCCTTATATACCACCTGTCACATCAGCACTTTTAATCCTGTACCCCATTACTCTGGCCGGCCCAGTTTTATTGTGTCTTTGTGTATTGTTTATTGCCTGTTGTTTATATTGCTTTATTTGTTTTAATTTGCTTTAGGTTTTGTATTGTATATTGTGTGTTGAGGCCTTGGCCTTTGTAAGCCGCATCGAGTCCCTCGGGTGATGCTAGTGGGGTACAAATAAAGTTTAATAATAATAATAATAATAACATCATTAGGCCGTGGTGGTCCATGCCCTAGTCACCTCTAGGTTGGATTACTGCAACGTGCTCTACGTGGGGTTACCCTTGAAGACGGCCCGGAAACTACAGCTGGACCAAAGTTCTGCGGCGAGACTACTTACGGGAGCTGGTTACAGGGAGCAGTCTACTCCCCTGTTTAAACAGCTCCACTGGCTTCCAATAAGTTTCCGGTCCTAATTCAAGGTGCAGGCTATTACCAATAAAGCCCTAACAGTTCGGGACCTGCTTATCCCGAACATTGAGGGAACGTTGCTCCCTCAGCGTTCTTGTCCTAGGAGTACACACTCCCTTGTACGAAGGTTTGTTTATTTCCCTGTCTCTCTATGAGTTCCCCCTTACAAATAGTTTATTTATTTATTTATTTAGTACACTTGTATACCGCTAATATCTCAGCCTAAAACGGCGACTCATTGCGGTTTACAATATTAAAAACAACAATAATCCGATAAAAATATAAAACACATACATATACAATACACAGTATTGGGCCACCAATACAGACCAATGCATCTCTTAACTTAAATCATAATCCAATTTCGTTGTCTGTAATTACCAGTCCTTGATCAAAACTTCATCGCATCGGATTAGCCGAATGCTTGCTCAAACATCCATGTTTTCAGTTTTTTTCGAAATGCCATCAGCGAGGAGGCTGATCTTATCTCTATAGGGAGGGCATTCCAAAGCCGTGGGGCCACCACAGAAAAGGCCCTATCCCTCGTTCCCGCCAGCCGCACCTGTGAAGCAGGCGGGATGGAGAGAAGGGCCTCTCCCGAAGATCTTAGGATCCTGGTGGGCTGATAGGCCGAGATACGTTCGGATAGGTATGTTGGGCCAGAACCGTTTAGGGCTTTAAAGGCCAACGCCAGCACTTTGAATTGGGTCCGGTAGCTAATCGGCAGCCAGTGGAGCTGGTACAGCAGAGGAGTTGTATGCTCCCTGCGCCCTGCTCCTGTTAGTACCATGGCTGCCGCCCGTTGGACTAGTTGGAGCTTCCGGGCCGTCTTCAAAGGCAACCCCACGTAGAGAGCGTTGCAGTAGTCAAGGCGGGATGTAACCAGAGCGTGGACTACCGTGGCCAAGTCAGACTTCCCAAGGTACGGTCGCAGTTGGCGCACGAGTCTTAACTGTGCGAATGCTCCCCTGGTCACCGCCGAAACCTGAGGATCCAGGCTCAGCGATGAGTCCAGGATCACACCCAAACTGCGAACCTGCGTCTTCAGGGGGAGTTCTGCCCCTTTATCTCACCCTGAGTTTTTAAATCATTTTATGTACATGCGTCCCGCTCACTGTCATTATGTTTGGTTTACTGCTTTTTTTAATGTTTTGTGTATATTGTTTACTAGCTGTCCCCTGCCATGCGTTGCTGTGGCCCACATGGGGGTTCTGTATGGGAAGTTTGGCCCAATTCTATTGTTGGTGGGGTTCAGAATGCTCTGAAGGTGAACTATAAATCCCAGCAACTACAACTCCCAAATGTCAAGATTCTATTTTCCCCCCAAACTCCACCAGTGTTCACATTTGGGCATATTGAGTATTCGTGTAGAGCAGTGTTTCTCAACCTTCCTAATGCTGAGACCCCTTAATACAGTTCCTCCTGTTGTGGTGACCCCCAACCATAACATTATATTTGTTGCTACTTCATAACTGTAATTTTGGTACTGTTATGAATCATAATGTAAATATCTGATATGCAGGATGTATTTTCAAATCCCAAATACCTGATATGCCCAAATTTGAATATTGGTGGGATGGGGGTGATTGATTTTGTCATCTGGGAATGTTGGAGTTGCTGGGATTTATAGTTCACCTACAATCAAAGAGCCTTCTGAACTCCACCAATGACGGAATTGAATCAAACTTGGCACGCAGAATTCCCATGACCAAGAGAAAATACTGGGAGGATCTGGTGGACATTGACGTTGGGTTTTGGAGTTGTAGTTCACCTACATCCAGAGAGCACTGTGGACTCAAACAATGGTGGATCTGGACCTAACTTGGCACAAATACTCAATATGCCCAAATGTGAACACTGGTGGAGTTGGGGAAAATAGACCTTGACATTTGGGAGTTGTAGTTGCTGGGATTTATAGTTCACACCTACCAGAAAGCATTCTGAACCCACCAATGATAGAATTGGGCCAAACTTCCCACACAGAACCCCCATGACCAACAGAAAATACTATTTTTTCTGATGGTCCTTGGTGACCCCTCTGACACCCCCTCGTGACCCCCACAGGGGTCCCGACCCCCAGGTTGAGAAACACTGGTGTAGAGTTTTGTCCATCATTGTTTGAGTCCACAGTGATCTCTGGATGTAGGTGAACTACAACTCCAAAACCAAAGGACACTGCCCACCAAACCCTTCCAGTATTTTCTGTTGGTCATGGGAGAACTGTGTGCCAAGTTTGGTTCAATTCCATCATCGGTGGGGTTCAGAATGTTCTTTGATTGTAGGTGAACTATAAATCCCAGCAACTACAACTCCCAAATGACAAAATCAATTTTTTTGAGTGAAGGACATACATTGGGTTGTTAGGTGTCTTGTGTCCAAATTTTGGTGTCAATTCGTCCAGTGGTTTTTGAGTTCTGTTAATCCCACAAACGGACATTACATTTTTATTTATATAGATACACTTTTATGTTTTATACTTTAATGTTATGTTGTTTATTTTATTGCAATTTGTATCTTATTGTATTGCAATTTGTTGTTCAGGCTTGGTCTCATGTCAGCTGCTCCAAATCCCCATTGGGGGAGATGGTGGCGGGGTATTCATAAATATTATTATTATTATTATTATTATTATTATTATCATCATCTCCGCAATCGCATCTTCTCCTATGAACCAGTGCGTACCTAGAGATCATCTGGGGAGGCACTGCTCTCTCTCCCTCCGCTGTCTCAAACACAGTTGGTGGGGACGAGGGAGAGGGCATTCTCAGTGGTGGCCCCCCGGCTCTGGAACTCCCTAGCGAGATCAGACAGGCTCCTACTTTGTCCTCTTTCTGGAGTTAACTAAAACCTGGATGTTCCGGTGTGCTTTTGATTAAGCAGTCCACCAATAATTTCCCTGTCCCTACTTTCAGTCCCTACTTTCAAATTGCCAATATCCGCTGGATAATGGAGAAAGGCAGGGAGTTTCAGAAAAACATCTATTTATGTTTCATTGACTATTCTAAAGCCTTTGACTGTGTGGATCATCATAAATTGTGGCAAGTTCTTGGTGGTATGTATGGGGAGACCAAGTATCACCTTACCTGTCTCCTGAGGAATCTGGATAAGGACCAAGTAGCAACAGTCAGAACTGACCATGGAAGAACAGACTGGTTCAAGATTGGGAAAGGCGTACAGATAGATAGGTAGATAGATAGATAGATAGATAGATAGATAGATAGATAGATAGATAGGGACAGATAGAGAGATAGAGAGAGGGAGAGAGACATATGGGGAGATAGAGAGATAGAGACAGGTATAGATATAGATAGAAATAGGGAGAGAGAGAGGAAGAGACAGATGGGGAGAGATAGATAGATAGATGATAGATAGATAGATAGATAGATAGATAGATAGATAGATACAAAGATAGATAGATAGATAGATAGATATAAAGATAGATATAGATACAAAGATAGATAGATACAAAGATAAATAGATAGATACAAAGATAGATAGATATAAAGATAGATAGATAGATAGATAGATAGATAGATACAAAGATATATAGATAGATAGATATAAAGATAGATAGATAGATACAAAAATAGATATAAAGATAGATAGATAGATAGATAGATAGAGATAGATAGATAGATAGATAAAGAGAGAGAAAAAGATAGATAGATAGATAGATAGATAGATAGATAGATAGATAGAAAAAGATAGATAGATAGATAGATAGATAGATAGATAGATAGATAGATAGATAGATAGATAGATAGATAGATACAAAGATAGATAGATAGATAGATAGATAGATAGATAGATAGCAAAGATCGATAGATAGATACAAAGATCGATAGATAGATACAAAGATAGATAGATAGACAGACAGACAGAGAGACAGATAGATACAAAGATAGATAGATAGATAGATAGATAGATAGATAGATAGATAGACAGACAGACAGATAAAAGGATGGATGGATGTGTGACTTTACTTGATGCCCCTCTGTCTTGTTTTTCTCTCCTTCCAGTCTGCCATCATCAACCGGGTCCAGTGCAGGATCGTTGCTTTGGATCTGAGAGGACATGGTAAGCCATTCTTTCACAAAGTTTGCTTTAAAGGCAACATCCAGCTTTATTTTCTTTTTTTGCGTGTGAAGTTTGGGCTCACTTCCTGCTGTTGCATCTGGGCTCAGCACATGTTGCAGTTGCCATATATTGCAAAGAAGTCGAAAGGCACACAACAACAACAACCTACATTATTGTTTACTGAGCATGAATATATAGCAAAACAAAGTGGAAAGAGCAGGACAGAGAAGTCTTCCCCCTAGTTTTTTCCTTAGCAGGAAACACAGGTATATAACTTTGGTCACCAAAATGGAATTCGTAAGAAAAGCTGAGTCTGGTGGAAGAAACAGTCATTCCTGGATGACTTCTCTTGATGTTTTGCACCTGTGGCAGGCATCTTCAGAGGGTCTAATGGTGGTCAAGCTAGTGGAGTATATATACCTGCGGAGTATCCAGGGTGGGAGAAGGAACCAGTGTCTGTTAACCAATTGTAAAGGGTGAATAGCCTTCTCAAACTCACATGCTAATGGATGGATCCTACTCAAACACTTGCAAACCAAGCTTGCTAATTGCACTTTTCACACATGGTTAATAGACATTGGTTGTATTATTATTATTATTTCACCCATCCTGGATATTCCACAGGTATATATATACTCCACTTGCTTTACCACCATCAGATCCTCTGAAGATGCCAATAGCCACAGATGCAGGTGAAACACCAGGAGAAAATGCTGCTAGAACCCATTGGTCATACATACCGGAAACGACACAACACCCCACATGAAATATAAACAATGTATTGTCGAAGGCTTTCATGGCCAGAATCACTGGGTTATTGTAGGTGGTCCAGAATTTCTGTGTTCTCGAATAATATGCTGTGTCCAGGTTGGTTCCTCAGGTGCTCTGCTATGGCTGACTTCTCTGGTTGAAGGAGTCTGCAGTGCCTTTCATGTCCCTTGATTTGTGTCTGGGCAATGCTGCTGTGTTTGGAGGTCCCTGTGTAGACTTGTCCACAGCCTATTATTTGAGAACACAGAAATGCTGGACCATATTGGTATAGAATTTTGATATTGGTATAGAATTTTTTTTCCTGACAAAGTATTGAAATATTGATTAGACAGAACAGATCCCAAGAATTTGGATCTTAATCTAATGTGGTTTGATCATCCTTTTCTTTGCAGGTGAGACCAAAGTGAGGAATCCTGAGGATCTCTCCGCAGAAACGATGTCCAAGTAGGTCATTTCCGTAACATTCTTGGTTGGCCATGTATATTTTTGATCAAGCATGGGCAAACTTTAGCCCTCCAGGTGTTTTGGACTTCAACTCCCACAATTCCTAACAGCCTACCGGCTGTTAGGAATTGTGGGAGTTGAAGTCCAAAACACCTGGAGGTGGTCCGAAGTTTGCCCATGCCTGGTTTGTATGAAAATTATTTTTTCCTGCTTAATTTTGGACCTAAAGTAGCACTGGAGGTGATATTTTCCCCCCATCAGTGTCTCACTTCTGGACAGCATCCATGGCATCCCTCATTTCCGCCTAGCTGAGCCATGAAGGTGGTGAAGTCCTTCATCTGCCTCCTTCCAGGCCGGCCATCTGTGGCTCTTCAGTTCCCTCCTTTTCCTTGGAACGCTTTGGGCCCCCCATTGGCTTGCAAGATGCTTCCCTTCTATTGTTTTCCTCTTGACAAGATGTTTAAAATTTAATTTTCACAATTTTATAACATAAAGGAAAGGATAAAGAAATGGATGATTTTTGTGAGTCAATTAAATCCACACTATTGAATTGCTGGGGATGTGAAAGGGGAGTATATTGTTGTGTATATTCTCTCCTGCATATAAAGAAATTCCATCTACAATATTTTTTATTCCAAGAACAAGGAGATTCTTATCATCTGGCGTTTGCGTCAAATTTGTATTATCACACCTTTTTCTTACTTTCTCCTCCAAGCCTGCATAATAAGCATTCCTTCTAATTGTCAAAGGCTTTCATGGCCGTAATCACTGGGTTGTTGTAGGTTTTTTCTGGCTATATGGCCATGCTCTCTCCTGAGGTTTTTGTATTGGATCACATGTCGGACACTTCCCAAGTGTCTAGGACCATGATGGCGAACCTATGACACGTGTGTCAGCAGTGACACGCGTAGCCATTTTCGATGACACACAGCCGTATGCGGCCACATACAGAGAAGATGGGGCCGCATCCCAAAAAGGACATTTCATCCTTGGCTCCTACACCAGCATTTTTCTATAATGCTGAGATATATGGCATTATAGAAAGGGCAGGTAACTTAAATAATTAGTTTTTGATTTATTAAATACAGTTATATATTACAATAATATATTTTTGTTATTAAACTATAAATATCATGACATTATGGTTTTTCCTCAAAGTGACACCCCACTCGAGTTATGCCCGGTTTTTTGGTGAGTATTGACACACCAAACTCAAAAGATTGCCCATCATTGGTCTAGGACAGGGGTAGGGAACCTTTGGCCCTCCAGCTGTGGTGGACTTCAACTCCCACAATTCCTTGAGGCTCGGCATTCGCCCCAAAGGCTTACCTTGGCCCAATGCCGAGCCTCAAGGAATTGTGGGAGTTGAAGTCCACCACAGCTGGAGGGCCAAAGGTTCCCTACCCCTGGTCTAGGACTATGTGATGTATCAGCGAATACTGCGTGTAGATCCCAGTAAGGTGGCCTTTTGCAGATGGCAGATGATAATCTTGTCAGCGTCGATTGTGTTTAAGTGCAGGCCAAGGTCTTTAGGCATTGCACCCAGTGTGCCGATCACCACTGGGACCCCCTTTACTGGCTTATGCTAGAGTCTGTGCAGTTCGATCTTTAAATACTCATATCGTGTCAGCTTTTCCAGTTGTTTCTCTTCAATCCTGCAACATCGGACAGTCCATACTTGGTTTTTTAACACGATTGTGAGGTCAGGAGTATTGTGCTCCAAAACTCTGTCTGTCTGAATTTGCAAGTCCCAGAGTAGTTTGACGTGTTCATTTTCTGTAACTTTCTCAGGCTTGTGATCCCACCAGTTCTATGTTGCAGGTAGATGGTGTTTGTGGCACAAGTTCCAATGAATCATCTGAGCAATGGTGTTGTGCCTCTGCTTGTAGTCTGTCTGCGTGATCTTCTTGCAGCAGCTGAGTTTGTGGTTTATTGTTTCACCTGCTTCCTTGCAGAGTCTACATTTGGGATCTGTCGTCGATTTTTCAATTCTGGCTTTGATGGCCTTGGTTCTAATGGCTTGTTCTTGGGCTGCCAGAATCAGGCCCTCCTTGGTCTCCTTTTTCAAAGTTCCATTTGTGAGCCACATCCATGTTTTTTCTTATTATTATATTTAGTTCTACCCTGCTTTATCTCTTCTGAGGGAGACTCTCTGCGGCTTAACATAAAAGCATTAGCATACCATTTAAAACTCAAGTCTTTTGAGTTTTAGAATGCAGAATATATTCATATATTACTCATATTATTTTTAAGTTCACAAAACCTGTTGGGATCGTCTGATTTTTTATAAAGTCCATCAAGGTGCTTCTGTTTGTGTCTTGTGTGCCAAGATCTTGTGGCGATCCCAAATGATTTTTGCCAAAGTTGTCATTGCAAAGCCACTATTTCCTTCCCAATTCATCCTGGATCCCTGGTATAGCTTCTTTGAGGGAATTTCAGCATCTGTTATCAGAGTCGAAGCCAACTTTTCAGAGTCCTTTCCGTAGCCAAGCTGTCCATAGGCATGCAGTATCGAATTAAAACAAGTCAATTATAGACTTGCAGGAAACCAATTCAGTTTCTACTAGTTTATTCTAGAAGTCCTATGTCCTATGTTATTGTCTATGTTTTTTTAATTGCTTGTATTGATGTTTTATTGTTTTTGTTGTTGTGTTGGGCTTGGCCTCATATAAGCCGCACCGAGTCCCTTGGGGAGATGGTAGTGGGGTACAAATAAAGTTAATAATAATAATAATAATAATAATAATAATAATAATAGTAATAATAATAAGTCCATCCAAGGCAAGGAGAAGTGAAAAGGTGAAGGGCTTTGGCAGTTGCCTGGTTTTGGATTTTGATTTGTTTATTTTTTTAGTGGATGTTGTAATTTGCTGCTTTACAAATGTTTTAATTGTGATTTTATTGCTACTGTTTGTATATTTTAAGTTCTACCAAAATGCTTTCAGTTGTGAGCTACTTTGAGGCTCCGTATGGAGAGAAAAAGTGGGATATAAATAAATGTAATAATAATAATAATAATAATAATAATAATCTTTAATATAATAATAATAATCTTTAATATAATAATAATAATAATAATATCTTTGACTTTGAAAAAGGAAACCATGGGCCTGATTCTGGCAGCCCAAGAACAAGACATTAGAACCAATGCCATTAAAGCCAGAATTTATTATTATTAATTATTATTATTAAACTTTATTTGTACCCAGCTAGCATCTCCCGCAGGACTCGATGCGGCTTACAAAGGCCAAGGCCTCAACACAACAACAGCAAAACAATAACAGTACAATTTAAAGCAAATTAAARCATATTGAAAGGTCAACAACAGATCCCAAATGTAGACTCTGCAAGAAAGCAGATAAAACAATAGATCCTATCCTAAGCTGCTGCAAGAAGATTGCGCAGACAGACTCCAAGCAGAGGCRCAACACCGTTGCTCAGATGATTCATTGGAACTTGTGCCACAAAGACCATCTGCCTGCAACAAAGAACTGGTGGGATCACAAGCCTGAAAAAGTTACAGAGAATGAACACGTCGAGCTACTCTTGGACTTCCGGATTCAGACAAACAGAGTTTTGGAGCTCAATACTCCTGACCTCACAATCGTGTTAAAAAACAAAGTATGGATTGTCGATGTTGCAATCTCGGGCAACAGCAGGATTGCAGAGAAACAACTGGAAAAGATATGAGGATTTAAAGATCAAACTGCAAAGACTGGCACAAGCCAGTCAAGGTGGTGATGGGCACACTGGGTGCAGTGCCTAAAGACCTTGGCCTGCACTTAAACACAATCGGCGCTGACAAGATTACCACCTGCCAGCTGCAGAAGGCCACCTTTCTGGGATCTGCACACATTATTCACCAATACATCACACAGTCCTAGACACTTGGGAAGTGTCCGACGTGTGATCCAATACAACAGCCAGCAGAGTGTCTGCTGTGGACTCATCTTGTTGTGTTTCAAATAATAATAATAATCTTAATTCACACACTGCAGAAAGAAAAGAAGAACAATTTTAACCAACATAAACTTAATAATATTTCAGTGGAAGCCCCTCCGAGTCCATCCAGTCCAACCCCTTTTATTCTGCCACGCAAGAAAAACAGATGGCCACCCAGCCTTTGTAATAATAACAACAACAACAATAGCAGAAACCCTAGAGGACGTGGGACTCCTCGGAGCACAGTTTGAGAACCGCAACTCTAAACAGAAGAATACTAGTATATAGAATGAAAGATGCAACACCAGAAAACTTAGGCAATGCATGCATTACCCTGTGTACCAAGAACGTAGAAATTAGTTTTAAAAAGACAGGAATGTTTCCATAAATGTATAGTAGGGATCAACCTTGTTGTGTCTTTCTTGTTTCCCTGTTGGTGTGTAGAGACATTGGGAACGTGGTGGAGGCCATGTACGGAGACCTTTCCCCTCCCATCATGTTGATCGGGCACAGCATGGGGGGCGCCATCGCGGTGCACACGGCGGCCTCTAACCTGATCCCCAGTTTGCTGGGCCTGTGCATGATCGATGTGGTGGAAGGTAAGCCTGGGTGGTGCCTTTTTGACCTCCTTTGACATTCATCCAGCCACTTGCATGGCAGGACAGCTTAACCCAAGTGGGTTGGGAGGCTCCATTCACCTATTTGAGACTTTGGAGGCCATCTCCATTCATCTTACACACTTTTTGGCCTTCAAATGCCCCTTTCGTACCCTAAAACATGGGGGTTGAATTTGCCGTGCTTTTAGGACCCCTATTCCCAAGAGAAGCCTTTGATGAAGACAGGAAATTGTTTTCTCAAAAGCCTTACAATTGAGCAAGCATTACAGTATGTAACACATTTTTTGTTTTTGTTTTACAAATGTCAATTCCTAATTGTTTCTATCATAAAAACATGGAAAAAGTTTATTAAAGTGTTATAAAGAGGTAGAGGCTTTATTTGGGAATAAATCCCACAAAGTATAATGGAATGTGAGACTTCTGTGATTAAAAGCCAAAACAAAAAGCTGTAAAGAAAGCTGGATCTTTCTTCTGGTCAAAAAACCCTTTAGAAAACCCTCTGGCCACCACCAAACTTAAAAGCACTAACAAGCCCTTGGCTTACTTGAAGTATCTTAGGCAAGAGTGTGTTGGATTAGCCCTCAGGCTTGTGTTTCTGAGGGAACACTAAAAGATTGTTCTTTAAGATATACACTGCCACCAAAGACTCTTGATTGCTGCAAGAAACTGCTTTTAAAACTTCACCCACAGAGGCACACGTGAGGCAGATGTTGAGAACAACAAAACAATGGTGTTTATTTAAGAGAACTGGAACAATTCAGGTATAAAGCTTAGCTGTTTCAAAAAAATTGACTTGAAAAGTGTGTGGTTACTTTTAATTTTTTTATTGTATAATACATAGAATCATACCATCTTTGAAATTAACATTCAAAATACCAGTATTTTCCCCAATCCCACCACCACCTACAATGCCTTTTTTCTGCTCTGATCTGTAAATGAAAACCTTTGTTGATCTCCATAACTCCAGGTGTTTTCTCCTGAAAGCCTTCTGTGACACTTATCTCTTCACCTGACTCCTTATCTAATGTTGCAGTTTCTGCCTCCTCTGACTGACCTTGAAGCTCTGCACTTTTCAAGTCAGACTTCTCACAGAGAGAAGCATCATTCCCCGGGCTTGAATCTTCGTCATTTCGAGCCCCAGGAAATCCCACAGGCAATTCCACAATCCTCTATAAATCATCAGTGAACCCATCAGGCTCAGGAGTCTCAGGCTGATCTCCAACAAACTACGACTTTCAAATTGAGTCCCGCACAACTAAACAGGAAATAACACTTTCAAACTAGAAACAGATTTTTTTTCAAATTTTGTTACATTGTATTATCATTTTTCCCAGTGAACTATGAAGGTATTTGAGAAATACTGGTCTTCCTAATACTTTCTTTCTTTTTTCTCTTTAAAATAGGAACAGCCATGGATGCACTGAACAGCATGCAGAATTTCCTCCGGAGTCGCCCCAAAACATTCAAATCTCTTGAGAATGCCATTGAATGGAGGTAACATCATCATCATCATTTATATCCCGCTTTTTCTCTCTAAAAAAAGACTCAAAGCATCTCACAATAAAAGCAATACAATTAAAACCTTAAAATATACAAACATTAAAATGGAATTAAACGTGGAATTAAGGTGCAGGTTATCACCTATAAAGACCTAAACGGTTCGGGACCTGCCTATCTGTGCGACCGCATCTTCCCCTACGAACCCACACAATCTCTAAGATCTTCTAGGGAGGCTCTTCTCTCGCTCCCACACCCGTCTCAGGCTCAGGCTCAGTTGGTGGGGACAAGAGAGAGAGCCTTCTCGGTGGTGGCCCCTCGGCTTTGGAACTTCCTCCCCAGGGACATCAGACTAGCACCCTCCCTATCCTCGTTCTGGAACGAACTAAAGACAAATCCTCTGACCGTTGGCCCAAATTCACGGCCCAAAAACATTATGTCCCTGCACTTTACTACTGCATTACTCAACACTATAATGTCCCTGTTATAATTGCTCTTACCCTGCGGCTACATGATCTATGCACCTATTGATTAGCCGATTTTCTAACCTGTTGCACACCAGCCCGCCCTCCCACAATGAGACCTGGAAGTTATGTCCTAGGTTGTGGCTTATGTTGTTTTGTGTATTGTTGTTATAATGTTGTTTTATGCTGTTTTATGTGATTGTTATATTTTTATATGCCATGTTTTTACTTTTTTTGACTGGGCTTGGCCCCAAGTACGCCACCCCGAGTCCCTTCGGGGAGATGTAGGCAAGGTATAAAAATAAAATTATTATTATTATTATTATTATTATTATTAATAATAATAATAATAATAATAAAAATAATAATTTATTTATGTCAAACACTTGTACCCTGCCCTTCTCAACCCCTAGGGGGTTGTTAATAATAATAATAATAATAATAATAATAATAATAATAATAATAATAATAATACCAACCCCTCCAGGGGTTGAGAAGGGCAGGGTACAAGTGTTTGATCTAAATAAATTATTATTATTATTATTATTATTATTATTATTATTATTATTATTATTATTATTATTAGAAACACAACAGGATGAGTCCACAACAGACACTCTGCTGGCTGTTGAATGGAATCACACGTCGGACACTTTCCAAGTGTCTATGACTGTGATGCATCGGTGAATAATGCGTGCAGATCCCAGTAAGGTGGCCTTTTGCAGCTGGCAGATGGTAATTTTGTCAGCGCCAATTGTGTTCAAGTGCAGGCCAGATTTGGACACAATACACCTATCAGGCCAACGAGTGACCATCACTCATAAAAACRCTGGAAAACACAGCAGAAGAGACTTAAAAAGCCATTTAAAAAAAATACATTACAACACATGCGCAAAACCACATATATACACATATATACAAATGTATACACACACATTTRCACACATACATACACATATATACTCACACAAAATGCATATACATAGACTGGGCCACAGCAACACGTGATTAATAAGAGGCAATATTCTACAGAGTTCAACGAGGCTTGCGTATTTGGTATTTTCCCATGTTAATATTCCCATGGGCCCTTGGTATCTGCTGGGGTTTGGATCCAGCATCCCCGTGGATATCAAAATGTATGGATGTTGAAGTCACAAACCCCAGAATTCTGCAGGTGGCAGCAACCGGATTTAAAGTGGATTCATTCCCTAGTGTTATGAGGTCCTTTCTTCATTTAAATGGCCCATTTTGAGAAGCCCTGTTTTCTGTGGTTATACAATGCGGCCACTTTGCTGAAGGGTTTGGATCCAAATGGGAGACCTCACTAGAAAAATCTCCTCCACATCTATCATCTTGGAATTAGAGTATGTAACATGTTTTTTGTTCCTGTGTTATCAGTGTCACTTCCTGGTTGGTTCTATCACAAAAACATGGGGAAAAGTTTATTAAGTTGTAAAAACTTTGTTTTTGTGGGCGGGACATCCTGCTATAGCACATTTGCTCTAATTTTCCAATGGATATGTCATCATCAATCTCAAGCAACTCAACAGAAGGTGTAGCAGCCACAAAAACAAAGTCTCTGGAATATAACAACTACTTTCAAAGTATGGAAATAACGCTTTCAAACCTGGAAATAAACAGGAAATAACGCTTTCAAACCAGGAACAGAAATGTTATGTAATTGGCAGGGGGCTTACCGATGTTCATTGCTGAAGCTGGAAATAAATGCTTCTCATTTCTCTCTCAATCTTCTAGTGTCAAAAGCGGACAGATACGAAACCTTGAATCCGCCCGAGTGTCCATGGTTGGCCAAGTCAAACAGTAGGTTGGGCCTTCTAATCCTCCTTTACAAAGCCAAATTGTTTCCAATTTAGGGAAACAAAGGAAAGGAAATATGTCTAATTAACCTAGTGTCTCGTATAATCAGTTCCCTTTGCTTTCAAATTTGTTACACACTTTATGAGTTTATTATTTTTTTGTCTATTTTTGGTACCGTCTTTTGGTTTATTCAATACATTTTAGTTACTTACCTTATTGCAATTATGAGAAAATGCAATGATGAAGAATAAAGCCAAACATTGTATCTCTATAGCAGGCATGGGCAAACTTGGGCCCTCCAGGTGTTTTGGTCTTCAACTCTCACAATTCCTAACACAGAGAGATATATAATAGGGCTGGGCGGTTTAGTTTCGTTAATTCGTAATTCGTTAATAATTCGTTAATTGTTTCAATTACAAAACGATAACGAACCATTCTGGAGCAATTATTAAAAAAACGAATTTTCAAAAACGTTTTGTAAATGCTTCGTATTTCGATATTGTATTCGTTTCGTTATTGTTTTGAGGTCGTTTCGTTATTATTTCCGCAGGTCTGGGCCAGTTTTATGGTTTAATTAGTGAAAAAAAATTATAATATCACACCAACAGTCAACAACAGAGGGAGAGGGAAGCTTCAGAAGGTTTTGGAGGTTTTTTAGCGTATTTCGCGGTCGCGTCCGCCATTAACGAATCGATTCGTTATTGTTCCGGAAATCGATTCGTTAATTTTTTTACCATTTACGAAATTTCGTAAATATCGAACTTTTTAAAAGGAAAATTTTGTAATTATTTTAAATATCGAAACAAAAAAAACCCCAAATACAAATCGATTTTAGAAACAAATTTTTCCGTTGTTACCCAGGCCTAATATATAAATATAAGTACACACACACACACACATAGGCCAGGCATGGGCAAACTTCAGCCCTCCAGGTGTTTTGGTCTTCTACTCCCACAATTCCTAACAGAGAGAGATATATAGATATAGGTGTACACACACACACACACACACACACACACACACATATATATATATATATATACCAGGCATGAGCAAACTTCATCCGTCCAGGTGTTCTGGACTTCCAACTCCACAATTCCTAACAGAAAGAGATATATAGATATAGGTACACACACATATATAGTCCAGGAATGGGCAAACTTTGGCCCTCCAAGTGTTTTGGTCTTCAACTCCCACAATTCTTAACAAAGAGAGATAGAGATATAGGTGTACACACACACACACACACACACATATAGACCAGGCATGAGCAAACTTGGGCCCTCCAGGTGTTTTGGACTTCAACTCCCACAGTTCCTAACAGAGAGCGAAATCGAGCTATAGGTATAAAAATATGGTGAATAATAGTATAGAACATTAGGAAAGAAAAACATATTGATTGGATGTGTCTCTTTGTGTTCCCACTTAAATCAGATGCGAAGGAGCCGCAAGCCCCGGAGGCCCCAAAGCCATTGTGGAAGGGATTATAGAGGAGGAGGAGGAAGAAGAGGAGGAGGAGGAGGAAGGGGAAAACGGAGAATCGGTGAACAAAAGGAAGAAAGACGACGACGCGGAGGCAAGCGGTTTTTGCATTCAGCATTAATTTAGTTGGACTTTAGGATTGTGGTGATGCGGGAGAAACAACTTAGAAAATGTAATTGTCCTGGCTGGGGATTCTGGGTGTTTTAGTCCAAAAAAAAGTATCTTCTCTATGGGAATCTATTGCCTAATTCAGGCATGGGCAAACTTGGGCACTCCCGGTGTTTTGGACTTCAACTCCCACAATTCCTAACAGCTTACCAGCTGCCCGTGCCTAATCTATACTGCATTTCATTTTTATTGCTGGAGACGTTGCTGAAATCACCATGTCAGACTACACAGAGAAGCCATTGAAATCCACAAGAATGTGGACAATTTCAACAGAAAGGAGGAAACCATGAAAATGAACAAAATCTGGCTACCTGTATTAAAAAAACTCTAAAATTACAACAGCAAAACAACAGAGAGGAAACAATCAGGGACATCTAATCACCTCACAACAAAAGATTGCCCCAGGCTTTGCCAGGCCATCAAATGCTAATCAAGGTGGTCAGTTGAAACATTCACACCTAGCACCAACAGACAAGAGTCCTTTGTCCCACCCTGGACATTATTCCACAGATATATAAACCCAATTTTCCCAGTTCCAACAGACCTCACTATCTCTGAGGATGCTTGCCATAGATGCAGGCGAAACGTCAGGAGAGAATGCCTCTAGAACATGGCCATATAACCCGAAAAAAATCTACAATAACCCACTTAAAAATGCTCTTTAATCTGTTCTCAGTGGGACAGATTGCTATCAGGCATTTTTAGAAAAAGAAGTAGACACACAGAGCCAGTACTGATTTTATAATAGCTGTATTAGTTACACAGACAAAGGGGAAACATATGCTCAGCATTCACTCCACATACGTTCAACACAGGCATTCTCACCATCCTTCTTCATTCAGACCATCTTGGAAGGAGGCAGGTGGACAAGCTGCATTCCTCACGTATCTGCCACACTTTTCGAAGGTAAAAGCGTCTCTTTATGTAGCAGTTTTTCTGCTGCTGTTGTTCCTGATTGTTTTGACAACTTGCTATTCAACTCCAATCTGGAGAGATGTTGTTTTTCTTCCTTAACATACGTAGCCATTGTTTTGGCTTTCTTAACTTAAGGGATAATTGTCTCTGAGCATGTAAACATGTGTTATTTACACCAGAAAGTTCCCAGGTCAGTTATGTCAATAGTTTTGTTCATCAACACTTTTCTTCTCCTCCAGAATGCCATTTTTTAAACAGAGGCTGGATGGCCATCTGTCAGGGGTGATTTGAATGCAATATTCCTGCTTCTTGGCAGAATGGGGTTGGACTGGATGGCCCAGGAGGTCTCTTCCAACTCTTTGATTCTATGATTCTATGATTTTTACCAGGTTTAATTTTAGGATGGTGTCTTCAGCCTTGGCAAGCCTAAACAAGCTCTCAGCCAAACCCAAAAATACAATTTCATTCATTCCACTCTGCTTTGTAAGGTTTACAGCCAGCCTCTTCTGTCTCCTTTGCAGCCCAAGAAGGACGTGGCCTACACGTGGCGGATCGAACTGGCCAAGACGGAGAAGTACTGGGACGGCTGGTTCAGGGGCCTCTCCAACCTTTTCCTCAACTGCTCTGCCCCCAAACTGCTGCTTTTAGCTGGTAGGCTGCTCTTGCTTTTATTCAATCTGCAAGTCCCAAATATTATTATTATTATTATTAAATTTTATTTGTACCCCGCTAGCATCTCCTGAAGGACTCGATGCAGCTTACAAAGGCCAAGGCCTCAAACACACAATATACAATACAAAACCTAAGCAAATTAAAACAATTAAAGCATAATAAACAACAGGCAATAAACAATACACTAAAACACAATACAATAAAACTGGGCCGGGCCAGAGTAATGGGTACAGGATTAAAAGTGCTGATGTGACAGGTGATATGTAAGGATTATAGGGTAAGTGCAGTGTGCAGTGTACAGCAATCTTAGTTCTACTAAAGTGCTTCTGGGACTTGGTATTGGAGATTTCCTATTCTGGGAAGGCACATCGGAACAGCCAGGTCTTCAGGTTCTTTCTGAAGACTGCCAATGTAGGGGCCTGTCTGAGATCTTTGGGGAGGGTGTTCCAGAGTCGGGGGCCACCACGGAAAAGGCCCTGTCTCGTGTCCCCACCAAACGCGCTTGCGACGCAGGCAGGATCACGAGCAGGGCCTCTCCAGATGAACGAAGTGAACGCATGGGTTCGTAGATGGAGATGCGGTCACGCAGGTAGGGTGGTCCCAAACCGTTCAGGGCTTTGTAGGTGAGCACCTGCACCTTAAATTGGGCTCGGAAAATAAATGGCAGCCAGTGGAGCTCCTTGAACAGGAGGGTTGACCTCTCTCTGTAAGAGGGCCCCAGTTAGCATCCTGGCTGCTGATCGTTGGACCAGTTGGAGCTTCCGAGCCGTTTTCAAGGGCAGCCCCACGTAGAGCGCATTGCAGTAGTCCAATCTGGAGGTGACCAAGGCATGGACCACCCCGGCCAGATCAGCCTTCGCGAGGTACGGTCGCAGTTGGCGCACGAGTCTCAATTGTGCGAAAGCCCTCCCAGACACCACCGACGCCTGAGCCTCAAGCGTAAGCGTTGAATCCAAGAGGACTCCCAAACTGCGGACCTGTGACTTCAGGGGGAGTGTAACCCCGTCCAGCACAGGTTGCCACCCTATACCCCGGTCAGGTTTACGATCGACCAGAAGGACCTCTGTCTTGTTGGGATTGATCTTCAGCTTGTTCCTCCTCATCCAGATAGACACAGCGGCCAGGCACTTGTCCAGCACCCGAGAATCCTCCTTGGAATTGGGTGGAAGGGAGTAGTAGAGCTGTGTGTCATCTGCATAGAGGTGGCATCTTGCTCACTTCAAATGGGAGTATCTGCCCAACTCAGGGTCTCCCCATTTAGGAAATAAGCTCACTTTGGGGTTGTGAAGCGTTACTTAAGACAGGCATAGACAAATTTCAGCCCTCCAAGAGTTCTGGACTTCAACTCCAAAGTTTGCCCATGCCAGAAAAAGAAATACAGTTAGTTACACAGGCAAAAGGGAAACGTGCTCAGCATTCAGAAAGTCAAAAGTGGACGTGTGGTCTCTTCCAACTCTATAATCTATGTTTCTATAAAATTGGGTTAGTAAAGGTAAAGGTGAATGGTTTGGGACCCACCTACCTGTGTGATCGCATTTCTGTGTATGAATCCACACGTTCTCTTTGATCATCTGGAGAGGCCCTGTTCACACACCTACCTCCTTCGCAGGCGCGATTGGTGGGGCAAGGGAGAGGGCCTTCTCGGTGGTGGCCCCCTGACTCTGGAACTCACTTCCCAAGGATATCAGGCATGCCCCAACTCTGGCAGTCTTTAAGAGGAGTCTGAAAATGTGGCTGTTCCAGTGTGCCTTCCCAGAATAAGGAAAATTCCCAGCAATATGTCCTCAGAATGCACTTTACTACTGGTTTAGGATTGACTGCGCTCCCTCAATCTCTCTCAGTTTTTAAACTATTACATTTGGCCCAGCCATTGGTTTTTAAATCCTTATTTGTTACTGTTTATTGTTTATATGTGATTTATATTAATTGTATTGTATTTATTGTTTTTGTTTATTGCTTTTTTATTGATGTGTTGTTGGGTTGGGCCTCATGTAAGCCGCTCCGAGTCCCTTTGGGGAGATGGTGGCGGGGTATAAATAAAATTATTATTATTATTATTATTATTATTATTATTATTATTATTATTATTATCCCCTGACAATAAGTCCAGTCGTGTCCAACTCTGGGGTTAGTACTAATCTCCATTTCTAAGCCGAAGAGCCGGTGTTGTTCGTAGACACCTACAAGGTCGTGTGGCTGACATGACTGCATGGAGCACAGTTACTTTCCCGCTGCTTACATTTGCATGTTTTCGAACTGCTAGGTTGGCAGAAACTGGGGCTAACAGTGGGAGTGCACCCCGCTCCCTGGATTTGAACCGCCGACCTTTCAGTGAGTAAGTTCAGTAGCTCAGCAGTTTAACCCACTGTGCCACTGGTTATTACATCCTGGTTATTGTCAAAAGTGCCAAGCTTCATATATTTGTAAGCAGCACAGTTCAAATATTTTTGTATGCGATTCGAATTGCAGTATATGCTTTTTTTTTTCTTCTTTTTTTGCTCTTTTGGAGCTGCAGTGGCGCAATGGGTTAAACCTTTGTGCTGCTGAACTGCTGACGTGAAGGTTGGCTGAACTGTTGACCTGAAGATTGGCAGTTCAAATCCACAAGACGGGGTGAGCTCCCATCAGTCAGCTCCAGCCCCTCCCAACCTAGCAGATCAAAAACATGCAAATGTGAGTAGATCAATAGATATCACTTTGGTGGGAAAAGGCAGAGAGAAATTCCAAGCAATCTTGCCAACAACATAATCAGGAGGTAACATTGCAGGCTCCTCGGCTCGAAAATGGAGGAAAACACTTCTCCAGAGCCAGAGATGAACACTGCCTCCAGAAGCCAGAAATGAAAGGAGAATCCTCTGCCTTTGTTTGCGTTTGTGTGTCTCATTGTATATGATTGTAACGGCATTGAATGTTTGCCTGTGTATGTAAATGCCGTAATCCGCTCTGAGTCCCCTAGGCGAGAAGGGCGGTATAGAAATAAAGTGTATTATTATTATTATTATTATTATTATTATTATTATTACAGTATATTCTGGCGTATAAGACTACTTTTTAACCCAAGAAAATCTTCTCAAAAGTCAGGGGTCGTCTTATACGCGGGTGTAGTCTTATGCATGGGAGTCGTCTTAACTCTATATTTTAACTGGAAAAGTTGGGGGTCGTCTTATACGCCCAGTCGTCTTATATGCCGGAATATACGGTAGTTTCCCTAAGTTGTCAAAACACCTTTAGTTCTCACTCTCTTTGACTTTTGACTCAAATGAGAAAAATACTTTGCTCTCATAACAATATGTAACAAAATTTGGAAAAAAATCTCCCTGGTTTGAAAGTGTTATTTCCTATTTAATTGTGTGGTCCTTACTTTGAAAGTAGTTGTTCTACTTCATAAACTTTGTTCTTATGGCTTGCACAAATTATGTTCAATTCGTTGACACTCTTGTGAAAAACTGTAGCAACATGTGCTGCCGGATGTGCCTCCCTCCCGCAAAAACAAAGCTTTTGCAGTTTAATAAACTTTTCCCATGTTTTTAAGATAGATCCAATTAGTGGCCTATGTCAAAGGCCCATTTTGTCATATTTTCCTTTATCCTGTCCTTTTCCAGATCCCACTCCAGCAAGGTTTGATAAAGGATTTTTATTAGTTTCTGATCTTTTTTCATTACTCAATACTTTTGAAAGACTGGGAAGAGGTGTGGAAAAAGAAACTAAAATTCACAATATAGTTGAGGGCTGGTATAAGATCTATTTCAGGGGGTACTGGACACCTTCTAGCCTATCAAAATTTAACAAAAATTACAGCAATAGATGCTGGAGATGTGAAAAAGAGCTTGGCACCCACTACCACATGTGGTGGGGGTGTAAAATAATTAGGAAATACTGGTCGACAATACATAAATACACCCAAAAAATTATCAGCATGAAATTTGAAATGAAACCGGAGTATTATCTCTTAAACATATCAGATCTGAACCTTCCAGAGAACGACGACAGGATTTTTTTTCTATATAACGGCTGCAGCAAGAACTACAATCGCCCAAAAGTGGAAAGAAAAAGTATCTCCACAAATTGAAGATTGGATAAACAAAATTATGGACTACATGAGTATGGACAATCTATCACAATATCTAAGCAATAAAAACAAGTCCAAACAAATGCCGTGACCCCTAAATAAAGTTCCTCATGTTGTGGTGACCCCCAACCACATTTTCGTTGCTACTTCATAACAGTAATTTTGCTACTGTTATGAAATGTAATGTAAATGTCTGATATGAAGGATGTATTCCCATTGTTAAAAATTGAACATAATTAAAGCATAGTGATTAATCAAAAAAACAATATGTTTGGGGGAGTGTGGGCAACGGATGATGGGATGTGAAGTACCTTCAAGTGATGCAGCTCTGACTTCCAGAGACCAAAGAGACACCCCCCCCCCCCACCCGAAATACAGACCTGGACCAAACTTGGCACACAGAACCCTAATGGCCAATAGAAAATACTGGAGGGGTTGGGGGGAATTGATAGTGAATTATGGGAGAGATAGTCCACCTACATCCAGAGAGCACAGTGAACCCAAATTACTATGGATTTGGACAGAACTTGGCACAACTACTCAGTATGCCCAAATCTGAAGACTGGTGGAGTTTGGGGAAAATAGACCTTGGCATTTGGGACTTGGGGTGTTTAGTTCCCCAGCCATCAAAGAGCATTCTGAAATCCAACCACAATTAAATTGGACCAAACTTGAGTTGTGTGGAAGGGGACTGGGTTATCTGAGGCCCCTTCCATACAGCTGCATAAAATACACACTGAAGTGGATTATCTGGCTGTGTGGCCTCAGATAATCCAGTTCAAAGCAGATAATGTGGGATTTCATTCAGCTGTGTGGAAAGGGACTGGGTTATCTGGGCCCCTTCCATACAGCTGCATAAAATACACACTGAAGTGGATTATCTGGCTGTGTGGACTCAGATAATCCAGTTCAAAGCAGATAATGTGGGGTTTCATTCAGCTGTGTGGAAAGGGACTGGGTTATCTGGGTCCCCTTCCATACAAGCTGCATAAAATACACACTGAAGTGGATTATCTGGCTGTGTGGACTCAGATAATCCACTTCAAAGCAGATAATGTGGGATTTCATTCAGCTGTGTGGAAGGGGACTGGGTTGTCTGAGGCCCCTTCCATACAGCTGCAAAAAATACACACTGAAATGGATTATCTGGCTGTGTGAACACAGATAATCCAGTTCAAAGCAGACAATGTGGGATTTCATTCAGCTGTGTGGAAGGGAACTCTGCAATCAAAGGGCATTCTGAAACCCCAACAGCCATGGAATTGGACTAAACTTGGCACAGAGAACACCCATGAACAAAAAGAGAATACTGGGGGCTCTGGGGAAAACAGACCTTGGAGATTGGGAGCCTGCGTTTTCCTTCCTGCCACAGCTATCCCCTGGGAGGCGCCTGCAAACGCTGCTGCAACAACTCAGGGGCCGTTTGCAGCACGGAGCTTCTCCGTTTGCAGCTTCTCCGTTGGCCTGGGGATGGCTCTCCTCCGCTCCTGGGCCCGCCTACAGGAGCGGCTGCAGCCCAGCACCTGCTCCACGGAGGATGATGCCAGGAAGGTGTGCGGCTGAAAGAAGGGCATCCACTCTCTGCAGAGCAACCCAGCTGTCTTTTCCTCCTCTTTCCTTGCACCTTTCTTTCCTCTGCTCTTTCTGCCTGCACACCTTTCCCTCCTTCTCCCTTGCCCCAGACACGTTTATTTTTTTCTTCCTCGCCCGTGTGCACTTTTTTCTCCCTCTCCTTGCTGTGCGTGCCTTTCCGTCCGACCCTCGACCCTCGGGCCCGTTCTTCGCCCCACCCGGCGTGTACCCTTGGCCCGGCTCCATGCACCAGTGGGCTTCCACCCCCCCTGGCCCCCCCCCCGCCGGCCGGGGCGCGCGCCCTCACCTCAGCGTGCTGTCGCGCCGGCTCGACTCACCGGGGGTGCCATGCTTGGTCTGGGTTTCTCCCGCACTCCTGAGGCACCGGGCGGGAAGGAGAAAGGGCCCGGCTACCTTTGATCGTCCCGCTCCCGACTGGGGTTGCGCGGCTGAGGAGGGAGAACGAGAGAGAAGAGCGGAGGAAAGGCACGCCGCGCCACTGTGCCAGGACCCGTGCAGCACGGGAGGACTTCCGCAGCCTCCGGGTCGAGCCGGCGGCGGGCGGGGGGGCAGCTTCGCTCGAGCCGCAGTGCAGCGCAAGGGGGAGGGGGTGGCAGAGAGAGGAGCCCCGCGGCCGCCGCCCTCAGAGGGCAGGTGAGTAGGGCGGGCGGGAAAGGCGCCGCGAGCCCTATCTGGAGTGGCCCTGGCTTTGGGTCGCCGCCATTTGGGAGGGCGGGCTAGCCAATGGCGCTTGGCGACCCCCAGAAACTGCCATACGCCCCCGGGGAGGTCCGCGACCCCCAGGTTTGAAAACCGCTGCTCGATAGCCACACCTGCCTCAACACCTCCTCAGAAAACGGCAGCTCACGCGAAAGCCACCCACTACCCGGCAAGCAAAGCCAGCTCTCTCCTCGGCAGAGCTGCATGCCTGGGTCACGCTCCACTCCAGCGCGCCATCTGGCCTAGGCAGCGGGAGAGTGGAGCTCCTCCCCTCTGCGGAGCTCCACTCAGGGATCCCGCACGAACACATGAGCCGGTGCGACTTCTAGCTGCGCCGGCAGCCGACCAGGGACGGTCCGGACAACATATCATAACCCAGGAACAAAAATTGTGTTACATATTGATAATCAAGCCCAATATTCAACCTAAAATGAGGCCATGGTTGTACTGGCCTCCTAGCAAGAAACAATGTTCTCTTAAGCAGCTGCAAACATTACCCATTACTCCTGAAAGAGGCCCATAGAAGTTGGTCCAGGTTTTGTATGAGTGCTAAAAAGGCCCAGAAGGGCAAGAATTTAAGACTGATGTTTGTTTTCTTTTTCCCAAATCATGTTTTAAGGTGTCGACAGATTGGATAAAGATCTAACAATTGGCCAAATGCAAGGTAAGCAGCGTTCTGTGTTGGGTTTCTGCATCTTGAGGCAAATTTCAGCCCTCCAGGTGTTTTGGACTTCAACTCCCACCATTCTTAACAGCCTCAGTGTTGCACTCCAGGACAGGAAAAGCCCTCTGACTTTAAACACAACATGCTGAATAGGGAAAAAATCCTTTTATTGGAGATAATTAAAAAGCAGCAAAGTAAAAAGCACTTTAAAGAAATAGGTAAATCCAATTAGGTAAGAAGATAAGCAGGAACAAAATAGTCCAGGGTAAAGTTCAGCAAAGTCCACACTTCTCTAATATAATCCAGAAAACTAGGAAACATTAATCCAAGGCATGAGTATGTAGTCATAAAATCCAAGAATCAAAACCATGAAACAAGAAATGTATTTATTTATTATTTATTTACAGCATTTATATACCGCTTTTCTCACCCCGAGGGGGACTCAAAGCGGTTTACACATAGATAATGGCAAAAATTCAATGTCTTACAACTACAATAGTAAAACCACACTTTAAACATAAATCATATTAAAAACAGTACATCATCAAATATCAAAACAGTTATTAAAACCATAAAACGATCTCATCAGTCGAATCGCCATTCCTGTCCTTGTCCCACTAAAAGCTGCATACATCTATTGTCCGAAGGCCTGGTCCCAGAACCATGATTTTAATTTTTTTCTAAAGGTCAGGAGTGAGGAAGCAGATCTTACCTCTTTTGGGAGGTAAATACTTAAGCATGAATCTTCCAAGCTAGGCTTCCATGAAACAAGGACGAGAACTTAACTTGATTCCAAACTATGCTTCATCTGGCTACGTTTCCCATACTTGAGACTTTTATCCCCTCGTTAAGCTATCCCAAGCACTCAGAAATTGGTTTCTCTTTAATTGAGATTCCCTTATCGTTTTCTGACGGAGGCTGGCAGAACGCTGAAGCCACTGTTCAGTTTGTCTGTTTTGACTAATCTCCTGCCCTCTATCTACAACTACCTAGATCAGTCACAGTCTGGTTTCAGGCCTGGCCGCGGCACCGAGACGGCCTTGGTCCGTAGAGAGCTGGACAGGGGGAGTGTGACTCTGTTGGTTCTCTTGGACATCTCAGCGGCTTTCGATACCATCGATCATGGTATCCTTCTGGGACGACTCTCCGGGATGGGTCTCGGGGGCACAGTTTTGTTGTGGCTTCGGTCCTTCCTGGAGGGTCGATCCAGATGGTGAAGCTGGGAGATGCCTGCTCGGACCCCTGGCCTTTGACCTGTGGGGTCCCGCAAGGCTCTATTTTGTCTCCCATGCTTTTTAACATCTACATGAAACGCTGGGAGAGGTCATCCGGAGTTTTGGAGTTAGGTGCCATCTCTACGCAGATGACACACAACTCTACTACTCATTTCGACCTAATTCCAAGGAGGCCCCTCGAGTGCTGGATGAGTGCCTGGCTGCTGTGTCTATCTGGATGAGGAAGAACAAGCTGAAGATCAATCCCGACAAGACAGAGGTCCTCCTGGTCAATCGTAAACCTGATCGGAGTATAGGGTGGCAACCTGTGCTGGACGGGGTTACACTCCCCCTGAAGTCACAGGTCCGCAGTTTGGGAGTTCTCCTGGATTCATCACTTACGCTTGAGGCTCAGGCGTCGGCGGTGTCCGGGAGGGCTTTTGCACAATTGAGACTTGTGCACCAGCTGCGACTGTACCTCGCAAAGGTTGATTTGGCCGCTTAAGCGGCGGAGGGGGAAAAGGAAAGGGCCTGAGGCTGTTAGGAATGGTGGGAGTTGGTCCAAAACACCCAGAGGGCCCAAGTTTGCCCATGCCTGGTTTAATTGCTGTCTATATTCTTGTGTCGCTGCTTCTTCACTCCCAAAAGCCATTACATGCACTCTTTCCTCCTTGCAGGTAAATTCCAGATGCAAGTCCTTCCACAGTGCGGCCACGCGGTCCACGAGGATGCTCCAGACAAGGTGAGTCAACGGGTCTCGAGCCGTTTCTGGGGCAAAGCTTTCAGGAATGGGCACACAATCAGGATTTCACCACCAGCCTCACCTGGAATAACCTTGTGTCTAATTCTGGGCACTACAGATAGTAACTTGGGGACAGAGTCTGGGAAAAAGTTACTCTCTTTTGTACAGCAGTCCTTTAAATCTCCCAAGACAGCCACTGTCCTTGGTAGCTGAGGAGGTATGAGGAATTGGCATTACCGGAAGTAACTTTTCCAAGTTCTGCTGTGAGTGTTGCGTAACAGCTTCTTCTTCATCACTGGCTGCTCTTCTTTCTGTTTCAGGTCGCCGAAGCCGTTGCAACATTCTTAATCCGTCACAGGTTTACAGAGCCCATTGGTGGATTCCAATGGTAAGTTGTTTTGAGTAATATAATAATAACAATAACAACAATATCACTTTTATTATGTTGCTGAAGTCTTTCATGCCCAGAATTATTGGATTGCTGTGAGTTTTTCGGGCTGTATTTTATTTATTTATTTATTTATTTACTTTGCTTCTATACCGCTGTTCTCAGCCCAGGGGCAACTCACAGCGGTGTGAGCTTGTATGTCCATGTTCACAGCTTGTATGTCCATGTTCCAGCAGCATTCTCTCCTGACATTTCACCCAGCTGGCCAGAAGCTGCAATACCGTCCCTGCTGTGCAAGTGGTCCAGGAACTGCTGTGGGAGATAATTACAATCTCCAGACAGTGTGTAGGAGCCAGGAACGTGACAGCCCTGATTTTTTGTGGCCCTGGGTGTGAGGGCCAGTATATTTATTATATACTGATAACTACGGAGCGTTATTTTTTTCAAAATGTATGTTATTGAGATTTTTATACAGTGAAGTCAAAATGAGATCTCCAAAAGAGAAAACGGAAAAAACGTAATCGTGTAAAGAGATAGAGAAAGGGAGAGAGGAAGAGAAGAAAAAGACAAAAGAAAGAAAGAAAGAAAAGGAAACAAAAAGAAATTAAAATTCTGTGTTGATCTTCCCAAACTCTTCTTCTTCGGGGTCGCGTATTCTTTCTGTTTTTGTTTACCTGTCTGTTCTTCCTCTAGAACAAACAACGAGAGCGTTATTTTTTTTTGTTCAACAATAAATGTGAATTCTTCTTCATGGAAAAAGTAAGACATCCCCTGAAAAAAAGACCTAGCGCACAGTTGAGAGCAAAAATTAATATAAGATGGTCGTATTGTTCCTCCTGTTTTTGTTTATCTGTCTGTTCCTCCTCTAGAACAAACAACAAGAGTGTTATTTATTTATTTTTTGTTGTCATTCAACAATAAATGTGAATTTTTCTTCATGGAAAAATAAGACATCTCCTGAAAATAAGACCTAGCGCATCTTTGAGAGCAAAAATTAATACAAGATAGCATATTGTTCTTTCTGTTTTTGTTTATCTGTCTGTTCTTCCTCTAGAACAAACAATGAGAGTGTTATTTTTTTTGTTCAACAATAAATGTGAATTCCTCTTCATGGAAAAATAAGACATCCTCTGAAAATAAGACCTAGTATATGTTTGAGAGCAAAAATTAATACAAGACAGTCGTATTGTTCTTTCTGTTTTTGTTTACCTGTCTGTTCCTCCTCTAGAACAAACAACAAGAATGTTATATTATTATTTTTTGTTGTCGTTCAACAATAAACGTGAATTCTTCTTCATGGAAAAATAAGGCATCCCCTGAAAATAAGACCTAGCGCATCTTTGAGAGCAAAAATTAATGCAAGACAGTCGTATTGTTCTTTCTTTTTGTTTATCTGTCTGTTCCTCTTCTAGAACAAACAACGAGAGCGTTGTTTTTTTTTGTTCAACAATAAATGTGAATTCTTCTTCATGGAAAAATAAGACATCCCCTGAAAATAAGACCTAGCGCATCTTTGAGAGCAAAAATTAATGCAAGACAGTCGTATTGTGCTTTCTGTTTTTGTTTATCTGTCTGTTCTTCCTCTAGAACAAACAATGAGAGCGTAATTTTTTTTTGTTCAACAATAAATGTGAATTCTTCTTCATGGAAAAATAAGACATCCTCTGAAAATAAGACCTAGCGCATGTTTGAGAGCAAAAATTAATACAAGACAGTCGTATTGTGCTTTCTGTTTTAGTTTATCTGTCTGTTCTTCCTCTAGAACAAAAAATGAGAGCGTTATTATTTTTTTTGTTCAACAATAAATGTGAATTCTTCTTCATGAAAAAGTAAGACATCCCCTGAAAATAAGACCTAGCGCAGTGATGGGCAACCTTTTGAGCTTGGTGTGTCAAAATTTGCCAAAAACCTGAGCATAACTTGGGTGGAGTGTCACGTCAAGAAAAAAACCCATAATTTTGCAATATTTATAGTTTAAATAAGAAAAATGTATAATCCATTCTGAGTTATGGAGTGAACAATGCTCAAACGTGCATATGTTAAATTTGTAGAGCCTTTTACAAATTTAAGGATGGAATTAGATTGGCTCTTATAAGGTGTATTTCTCTGTATGTGGCCACATGTGTCTGCGTGTCATCAAAAATAGCCATGCGTGTCAATGCTGACACGCGTGTCATAGGTTCACCATCATGGACCTAGCGCATCTTTGAGAGCAAAAATTAATACAAGACACTGTCTTATTTTCAGGGAAATCAGGTATTGCAAAATGTGCTGCAGAATGTTTCTCCTGCAAAAACAAACTTTTGGCAATTTAACAACAATAGGAAATGGCATGTATAACCCAGTAATGATAGCAACAGTGACATTCTCTTGAAAATGTACCAACCACTCCTTCTTCTTCTCTTCACAGCGTTTTCCCCGCTTGTTAATAACCCGGAGGTCCACCAACGCCCACTTTCCGTTGTAAATAAAACTGCACCAGAGGGCCCCCCTTCCGTGGCGTGTTCTGTATCCTCTCCATCCGACCCCCCTTCCGTTTGGTTCCCCCAATGCCGAGCGATGGGCGCGGTGCCCGCCCGAAGCAGAGCTCCTCCGGCGTCCGGCTGGACCTCGTCCACCCCTTGCCCTTTCCTTCCCTTCCTTCCCCTGGATGTCGGTTTCTTTTCCTCCCGTTTCCCCCGTCCGTCAGTCCATCCCGAGGAAGTCCGGTTGTGTGTGGAATCGTGGGGGGAATGCGAGGGACTTTGGGGGGGCGGGCAGGTAGAAGGCTGGTTCCTCCAGTTGTATCAAAACCTGAAAAACATTAAAGAGATTTCTTCCCCGGAAGAAGCACTCCGAAGCCCACCCACTTCTACCTTCTTGCGCTTGAGAACCTTTTGGGATGCCTAGAACACCGACCAAACCATGAAACTGGGTTGTAGGTTTTTCCGGGCTATATGGCCATGATCTAGAGCAGTGGTTCTCAACCTGGGGGTCGGGACCCCTGGAGGGGTCGCCAAAGACCATCAGAAAACACAACATTTTCTGTTGGTCATGGGGGTTCTATGTGGGGAGTTTCACCCAATTCTATCATTGGTGCGGTTCATAATTCTCTTGATTGTAGGTGAACTATAAATCCCAGCAACTACAACTCCCAAATGTCAAGGACTATTTTCACCAAACTCCACCAGTGTTCATATTTGGGCATATTGAGTATTCATGCCAAGTTTGGTCCAGATCCATCATTGTTTGAGTCCAAAGTGCTCTCTGGATGTAGGTGAACTACAACTCCAAAGCTCAAGGTCAATGTCCACCAAACCCTTCCAGTATTTTCTGTAGGCCATGGGAGTTCTGTGTGCCTAATTTGCTTCTGTGTGCCTAATTTGTTGCAGATATGAAGTAGCAATAACAATTTTTTGCTTGGGGGTCACCACAACATGAAAAACTGTATTAAGGGGTCGTGACATTAAGAAGGTTGAGAACCACTGATCTAGAGGCATTCTCTCCTGACGTTTCGCCTGCATCTATGGCAAGCATCCTCAGAGGTAGTGAGGTCTGTTGGAACTAGAAAAATTGCATTTATATATCTGTGGAATGACCAAGGTGGGACAACGGACTCTTGTCTGCTGGAGCTAGGTGTGAATGTTTCAACTGACCACCTTGATTAGCTTACTTAATTTCCATACCACCCAACTGTGCCACCTATCAGGCCAACAAGTGACTTATAAAAACACTGAAAACACACAGCAGAAGAGACTTAAAAAGCCAAAAATTAAAAATTACATTACAATGCATGAATAAAACCACATATATACACATATACACAAATATACACACACAATACACATATACACAGACTGGGCCACAGCAATGTGTGGCAGGGGATAGCTAGTGTAGTCATAAAATCCAAGAATCAAAACCATGAAACAAGAAGTACTTAAGCATGAATCTTCCAAGCTAGGCTTCCATGAAACAAGGACGAGAACTTAACTTGATTCCAAACAATGCTTCATCCGGCTACATTTCCCATACTTGAGACTTGTATCCTCTCGTTAAACTATCCCAAGCACTCAGAAATTGGTTTCGCTTTAATCGAGATTCCCTTGTCTTTCTCTGTCGAAGCCTGGCAGAACGCCGAAGCCACTGTGGAATGACCAGGGTGGGACAAAGGACTCTTGTCTGCTGGAGCTAGGTGTGAATGTTTCAACTGACCACCTTGATTAGCATTTAATGGCCTGACAGCGCCTGGAGCAAAGTTTTGTTGAGAGGTGATTAGATGTCCTTGTTTGTTTCCTCTCTGTTGTTGTGCTGTTGTAATTTTAGAGTTTTTTAATACTGGTAGCCAGATGTTGAACTATGAAACCCTCCTATAGTTGGAAGAGACCTCTCCCCCCCCCCCCCCCCCCCCCCCCCCCCCCCCCCCCCCCCCCCCGGGCCATCCAGTCCATCGCATTTCTGCACAATCCAAGCCTTCTTAAATAATTGTGAATTCTACATATTCAGTGCTTTACAATTCATATACATCCCACTTCCCCATAACAGATTTGTAATAGAGAAATATATACAGTAGGGTCTCGCTTATCCGTCATAAACATGCCGGCAGAACATCGGATAAATGAAAATGTCGGATAATACGGAGTCTTCTGCTGTTACTCGTCCGACGTGGTGCTAGACACCTAGAAGACTAACAACAGGGACTCAAAGGGTCACGGCAACACCTCGGGGCTAGAACGGTCTAACAGGAAGTGCCCGGATGATGTGGAAGAGAAGCGTGGAAATCACAGAGGGAAGGAGGGAGGATGCTTCCGCTTCCAGTCCTGCCTCTTTTGTGCAGCAGTGGATTTTACCCAGCGCCCAAAGTCCAAATGCAATAGACTCGCAGACGAAAGGAAAAATGAACAGAAAAATCTTTACTCAGCAAATGAAACATAAACTTGTAATGCATACAAAACTCAAACAGTGCAAGACACTTAATAATAATAATAATAATATTTATTTATTTATTTATACCTCGCCACCATCTCCCCAAAGGGACTCAGGGTGGCTTACATGAGGCCAAGCCCAACAATAATAATGTATTGTCGAAGGCTTTCATGGCCGGAATCACTCAGTTCTTGTGGGTTTTTCGGGCTATATGGCCATGTTCTAGAGGCATTTCTCCTGACGTTTTGCCTGCATCTATGGCAAGCATCCTCAGAGGTGAGGTGAGGATGCTTGCCATAGATGCAGGCGAAACGTCAGGAGAAATGCCTCTAGAACATGGCCATATAGCCCGAAAAAACCCACAAGAACTGAATAATAATAATAATATACAAACACAGATACATAAAACGAACACAGTTTTTCGGGCTATATGGCCATGTTCTAGAGACATTCCTGACATTTCGCCTGCATCTATGGCAAGCATCCTCACAGGTAGTGAGATCTGTTGGAACTAGGAAAATGGGTTTATATATCTGTGGAATGACCAGGGTGGGACAAAGAACTCTTGTCTGCTGGAGCTAGGTGTGAATGTTTCAACTGACCACCTTGATTAGCATTTGATGGCTTGGCTGTTGTTTGGTGTGGCTTGTTAGTGCCTGGGCAATCTTTTGTTGAGAGGTGATTAGATGTCCCAGATTGTTTCCTCTCTGTTGTTTTGCTGTTGTAATTTTAGAGTATTTTTAATACTGGTAGCCAGATTTTGTTCATTTTCATGGTTTCCTCCTTTCTGTTGAAATTGTCCACATGCTTGTGGATTTCAGTGGCTTCTCTGTGTAGTCTGACGTGGTGGTTGTGAGAGTGGGCCAGCATTTCCGTGTTCTTCAATAATATGCTGTGTCCAGGTTGGTTCATCAGGTGCTCTGCTATGGCTGACTTCTCTGGTTGGATTAGTCTGCAGTGCCTTTCATGTTCCTTGATGCGTATTTGTGCAATGCTGCTGCGTTTGGTGGTCCCTATGTAGACTTCTTGTCCACAGCTGCATGGTACACGGTAGACTCCTGCAGAGGTGAGAGGATCCCTCTTGTCCTTTGCTGAATGTAGCATTTGTTGGATTTTCTTGGTGGGTCTGGAGATAGTTTGCATGTTGTGTTTCCTCATCAGCTTCCCTCTGCGGTCAGTGGTTACCTCGATGTCTGGCAGGAACACTTTTCCTCTGGGTGGATCTTTACTTTACCAAGGAACGCCCATGATATGACACAAGAGTGTGACAACAAGACCATCCACTATGTGTGTTCTTTCTTACCTATAGCACACCACTTGATGGCAGTCTGTTCCAGTGTTTCCGATGCAGCGAAATATTTTGCATGTTTCCAAAGAGTTGTCTTTGGATGCTTCTCGAAATGAGCATAGCAGCATGGATTTGTGGCTTCTTGCCTTCCAGTCAGCCCTGGCTTAAGGTACTTCTACACTGGAGAATTAATCCAGTTGAACACCATGTCTTAATGCTATTGAAACATCAGAGTTCATATTATTATCATTATCATTATCATTATCATTATCATTATTATTATTATTATTATTATTAGAAACACAACAAAATGAGTCCACAGCAGACACTCTGCTGGCTGTTGTATTGGATCACACGTCGGATACTTCCCTGTGTGATGTATTGGCAAATAATGCCTGCAGATCCCAGTAAGGTGGCCTTCTGCAGCTGGCAGGTGGTAATCTTGTCAGTGCCGATTGTGTTTAAGTGCAGGCCAAGGTCTTTAGGCACTGCACCCAGTGTGCCAATCACCACAGGGACCCCCTTGACTGGTTTGTGCCAGAGTCTTTGCAGTTCGATCTTCAAATCCTTATATCGTGTCAGCTTTTCCAGTTGTTTCTCTTCAATCCTGCTGTCTCCTGGGATTGTGACATCAACAATCCATACTTTGTTTTTTAACATGATTGTGAGGTCAGGAGTATTATTATTATTATTTACTGACACAAATCATTTATTTCGGTCATAGACCAGCACATGAAATAAAAGTCACAGTTCCATACAAACTTGGTACGTTTAGTCTATCTATATAAATAAAAATGTAATGTTCGTTTCTGGGATTAACAGAACTCGAAAGCTACCGGATGAATTCACACCAAATTTCGACACTATACTCCTAAAACACCGACGAGTGACCATCACTCATAAAAACCCCTAAAAAACAGCAGAAAGGACTTTAAAACCCCAAAAATCTAAATGACGAAAAGCTAAATCACGATACAGGAAATAAAGGGAAGGAGGGAGGGAGGGAGGGAAGGGAAGAAAGAAAAAAGAAGGAAAGAGAAGGGAGCAAAGAGCAAAGGAAGGAAGGAAAGAGGTAGAGAAAGAATGAAGGAGAGAAAGAATGAAGGAGAGAAAGAGGGAGGTAAGGAAAGAGAGAAGGAAGGATGGAAGCAAAAAGTGAATGAAGGAAGGGAGAAAGGAGGGAAGGAAGGAAAGAAAGAAGGGAGGGAGGGAGAGGGTAGAGAAGAAATGAAGGAGAGAAAGTGGAAGAAAAAGGGAGAAAGAAGGAAAGAGGTAGAGAAGGAATGAAGGAGAGAAAGAGGGACGGAAGGAAAGAGAAATAGGATGGAAGCAAAAAGTGAAGGAAGGAAGGGAGAAAGAAAGAAGGAGGGAAGGAAAGAAAGAAGGGAGGGAGAGGGTAGAGAAGAAAGGAAGGAGAGAAAGTGGAAGGAAAAGAAGAAGGGAGAAAGAAGGAAAGAGGTAGAGAAGGAATGAAGGAGAGAAAGGGAGGGAAGGAAAGAGAGAAGGAAGGATGGAAGCAAAAAGTGAAGGAAGGGAGAAAGTAAGAAGGAGGGAAGGAAAGAAAAAAAGAAGGGAGGGAGGGGGTAGAGAAGAAAGGAAGGAGAAGAGGAAGGAAAAAAAAAGGGGGAAAGAAGGAAAGAGGTAGCGAAGGAATGAAGGAGAGGAAGAGGGAAGCAAGGAAAGAGAGAAGGAAGAATGGAAGCAAAAAGTGAAGGAAGGAAGGGAGAAAGAAAGAAAGAAGGAGGGAAGGAAAGAAAGAAGGGAGGGAGGGGGTAGAGAAGAAAGGAAGGAGAGGAAGTGGAAGAAAAAGAAAAGGGGAAAGAAGGAAAGAGGGAGGGGAGGAAAGAGAGAAGGAAGGATAGAAGCAAAAAGTGAAGGAAGGAAGAAAGAAGGAGGGAAGGAAAGAAAGAAGGGAGGGAGGGGTAGAGAAGAAAGGAAGGAGAGAAAGTGGAAGGAAAAGAAGAAGGGAGAAAGAAGGAAAGAGTTAGAGAAGGAATGAAGGAGAGAAAGGGAGGGAAGGAAAGAGAGAAGGAAGGATGGAAGCAAAAAGTGAAGGAAGGGAGAAAGTAAGAAGGAGGGAAGGAAAGAAAAAAAGAAGGGAGGGAGGGGGTAGAGAAGAAAGGAAGGAGAAGAGGTGGAAGTGGAAGAAAAAAAGGGGGAAAGAAGGAAAGAGGTAGAGAAGGAATGAAGGAGAGGAAGAGGGAAGCAAGGAAAGAGAGAAGGAAGGATGGAAGCAAAAAGTGAAGGAAGGAAGGGAGAAAGAAAGAAGGAGGGAAGGAAAGAAAGAAGGGAGGGAGGGGGTAGAGAAGAAAGGAAGGAGAGAAAGTGGAAGAAAAAGAAAAAGGGGGAAAGAAGGAAAGAGGTAGAGAAGGAATGAAGGAGAGAAAGAGGGAGGTTGTGTTTCTACAATAAACATTGACAAAATCACGATCTGTCAACTGCAAAAGGCCACCTTACTCGGATCTGCGCACATCATTCGAAAATAATCACACACTTGGGAAGTATCACAAATTCTATCACAATTTCGTATCACAAACTCGACTTGTGATTTTGTGATACAAAATCCAGCATATAGATCTCATTTGCTGTGCCATACTGTGTTTTTGTGTCAGTATTATAATAATAATAATAATAATAATAATAATAATAATAATAATGTATTGTCGAAGGCTTTCATGGCCGGAATCACTGGGTTGTTGTAGGTTTTTTCGGGCTATATGGCCATGGTCTACCTAATAATAATAATAATAATAATAATAATAATAATAATAATAATTTCTTGTTGTTGAGATATGCATTCACTGGGAGCATTTCTTCTTTGCTCCCAAAGTCTGGGATGGCCAGACTTGAAAACGAAATGTGGGAGAGGAATAAAGAAGCTCTTCTTTGCACCGGAACGACGGTGTCTGCAATCTCTCCGCTTCCCAATGCCATCCTACCTGGACGGAGAAGGCATGCCCATCGCTGCTCTTGCTTAACCACAGTCACACTTTCCCAAATATTGACTCGGTTGGCGTTGGGCCACAAGGAAGGTGTGTAGGCACCTTCTCAGGAGGGAAAAAGGGGGCTTTCTTCCTTCCATCCTCTTCCTCCTCCGTCACCACCGGATCGACTGCCAGTTGGAGCTGCCAGCTTTTCATAGGAAGAGGCTGACATACGGAAAGCACACAGGTGAGCCTCTTTCCATTGTGCATAATTATATCAGGATGCAAAGGGGTCTAAGCGAGGTTTGTCAAGTTTGCAGAAAACACCAAATTGGGAGGGATAGCCAATACTCCAGAGGACAGGAGCAGGATTCAAAACAATCTTGACAGATTAGAGAGATGATGGCCAAAACTAACAAAATGAAGTTCAACAGGGACAAATGCAAGATACTCCACTTTGGCAAGAAAAACGAATTACACAATGGGGGACGATGAGGCCTGGCTCGAGAGCAGTACGGGTGAAAAAGATCTTGGAGTCCTTGTGGACAACAAGTTAAACATGAGCCAGGAATGTGATGTGGCGGCAAAAAAAGCCAATGGGATTTTGTCCTGCATCAATAGGAGCCTAGTGTCTAGATCCAGGGAAGTCATGCTACCCATGCTCTATTCCGCTTTGGTCAGACCACACCTGGAATATTGTGTCCAATTCTGGGCACCACAATTCAAGAGAGATATTGACAAGCTGGAATGTGTCCAGAGGAGCGACTAAAATGATCAAGGGTCTGGAGAACAAGCCCATGAGGAGCAGCTTAAGGAGCTGGGCATGTTTAGCCTGAAGAAGAGAAGGCTGAGAGGAGATATGATAGCCATGTATAAATATGTGAGAGGAAGCCACAGGGAGGAGGGAGCAAGTTTGTTTTCTGCTTCCTTGGAGACTAGGACGTGGAACAATGGCTTCAAACTACAAGAGAGGAGATTCCATCTGAACATGAGGAAGAACTTCCTGACTGTGAGAGCCGTTCAGCAGTGGAACTCTCTGCCCCGGAGTGTGGTGGAGGCTCCTTCTTTGGAATCTTTTAAACAGAGGCTGGATGGCCATCTGTCAGGGGTGATTTGAATGCAATATTCCTGCTTCTTGGCAGAATGGGGTTGGACTGGATGGCCCATGAGGTCTCTTCCAACTCTTTGATTCTATCATTCTATGAGAGCATCTACACTGAAGAATTGATGTAGTTTGGTACCCCTTTAACTTCCCTGGTGTTGTGGCTCACTCTGAGCTTTCTGAGCCTGAGTTTCCTCAGGACGAGGAGGATGATGGGTTACAGATTTCTGAACATGTCCCTGTTATTGAGGCAGACAGTGTTGATTCTGAAGAAGAGACGGCATTTCTGTTTCCCAGAGAAAGGGATGTTGTTTTACTTGAAGATCGTGAAACTTCACAGCTGCAGTTGGAGGCTCCCTCTGGGAGTTCAGTGCCTCTCGGTTCCCAGGGTGACCAGTCCCAGGATAATGAGTTCTCCGGCCTTGAAGATGGTGGAGATTTGATTAGGGAGGACCCTTTGCAATTAAGGGTTTGCCGAAGTGAGCGGCTTGCCAACAAACGTGAAGTTCGAGGTCAACGTAATGCTTTCATGCTAGGGAAGGAGCCCCCGGTGGCGCAGCCAGCAGGACTGAAGACTGACAGATCGCAGGTTCGAATCCAGGGAGAGGTGGATGAGCTCCCTCTATCAGCTCCAGCTCCTCATGTGGGGACATGAGAGAAGCCTCCCACAAGGATGATAAAACATCAAAAAAAAATCATCCAGACGTCCCCTGGACAATGTCCTTGCAGACGGCCAATTCTCTCACACCAGAAGCGACTTGCAGTTTCTCAGGTCGCTCCTGACACAACAAAAAAAATGCTAGGGAAACATATTTAACGATCGGATTGAAGTCTATCCTTTGTCAGTGCAATGTTGCTTTTGTTGTTCATTCGTTCAGTCGTCTCCGACTCTTCGTGACCTCATGGACCAGCCCACGCCAGAGCTCCCTGTCGGCCGTCACCACCCCCAGCTCCTTCAAGGTCAGTCCAGTCACTTCAAGGATGCCATCCATCCATCTTGCCCTTGGTCGGCCCCTCTTCCTTTTACCTTCCACTTTCCCCAGCATCATTGTCTTCTCTAGGCTTTGCTGTCTCCTCATGATGTGTCCAAAGGACTTCAACTTTGTCTCTAGTCTCCTTCCCTCCAGTGAGCAGCCGGGCTTTATTTCCTGGAGGATGGACTGGTTGGATCTTCTCGCAGTCCAAGGCACTCTCAGCACTTTCCTCCAACACCACAATGTTGCTTACACCCTGTTAACTTCTCTGAAATTACCTCGGCTTTTGGGGAAAGCTTCTAGCTCTTTGGGACTTTGGTTTTGATCTTGATTTTTGGGGGACCTTGTCATGCTGCCATGGATTCTTGTGTAACTTCATGTTATTTGCCTTGGAATCTTGGAAACTTTGCCATTTTGGCTACTGAACATTTGCAACTTTACTTCTATGTTTTTGATTTTACTTTTTCCTCAATCAACTACAAAACCTACAGCCTTGGTGTGTGGTGGAGTCTTGAGCAAGGTGAATCTATCCTGAGTTGCAACACCTGGCTCCATGCTATGCAATCCTGGGAGTTGTATACAAAAATTGTGCTGGCGGTCTCCCATCCGAGTCCTAACCAAGGCCGACCCTGCTTAGCATCCAGGATCAGTCGAGCTCTTGTGCTTTTTGGGGTCTTTAAGACTCCCCATAAACAGATACTGGTCTCTCCAGGTATGGTCCCAGGTATGTATTCCCTGGGATAGATAGAAGAAGGCTTCTCAGTCTATCTGTTGGACTACCAGTCGCTCCGTTCTCTCCTGCTCAGGAGACCGGTCTCTTCGTTCTCCGCACCTGACAGCTCTCTCTTTAAATAAATGCCTGCGCCAAAGCTTGCCAAGACATGCTTTTGGACGCTTCTCGGCCTCCCAGGTGGTCCCTCCAGGCATGGCTGCATCAGGATGGGAAGAAGGAGAAGAATTCACGGATCCTCTTTCCCTACCAGTTGCAATTTTGAGATTTTTTGGCATCTGAATGCAAGGCTCTGGGTTTCGCTAGTCGTCTGAGTCAGTGCCGCACGGCCTTCGAAACTCCTGCCCGTGTTCATGGAACCATTTGTTGGCCACTGGAGAGAGAGAGAGAGAGAATATAATCATAGAATCCTAGAGCTGGATGAGACCCCCAAAGGTCATCCAAACTGACCTCCTGTTCTGCAGGAAAACACCATCCAAGCCCTCCCGACAGATGGCCATCCAGTTCGAAAGCCTCCAGAGAAGAAGACTCCACTGGAAGGAATCCCCAAAGAGCATCTAGTCTAACCCAATTATGCTGCAAAGGAAGACACACTTGAAACCCTTCCGACAGATGGCCATCCAGTTCAAAAGCCTCCAGAGAAGGAGACTCTACTGGAAGGGACCCCCAAAGGGCATCTAGTCTAACCCAATTATGCTACAAAGGGAGAGACACACTCGAAATCCTCCCGACAGATGGTCACCCAGTTCAAACAACTCCAGAGAAAGAAGAAGACTCCACTGGACTTCCAAGCAGTCCCTACTTCACTAGAGTTGGAAGGGACCCCCAAAGGGCATCTAGTCCTATCCCCATCAGCCAAACAGAGTCCTCCCAATAGATGGCCATCCAACCTGAGTTCAAAAGCCTCCAGAGAAGGGGAGTCTACCAGAAGGGATCCCCAAAGGGCATCTAGTCTAACCCAATTATGCTACAAAGGGAGAGACATACTCGAAACCCTCCTGACAGATGGCCACCAAGTTCAAAAAATTCCAGAGAAGGAAGAAGACTCCAGTGGACTCCCAAGCAGTCTCTACTTCACTAGAGTTGGAAGGGACCCCCAAAAGGCATCTAGTCCTATCCCCATCAGCCAGACAGTCCTCCCAATAGATGGCCATCCAACCTCAGTTCAAAAGCCTCCAGAGAAGGAGACTCCACTGGAAGGGATCCCCAAAGGGCATCTAGTCTAACCCAATTATGCTGCAAAGGGAGAGACACACTCGAAACCCTCCCAATAGATGTCCATCCAGTTCAAAAAACTCCAGAAAAGGAAGAAGACTCCACTGGACTCCCAAGCAGTCTCTACTTCACTAGAGTTGGAAGGGACCCCCAAAGGGCATCTAGTCCAATCCTCATCATCCAGGTAGGAATGCACAGTCAAAGCCAGCTATGGGCAAACTTGGGCCCTCCAGTCGTTTTGGGCTTCAACTCCCACAATCCTTAACAGCCTACCAACTAATAGGAATTGTGGGAGTCCAAAATGCCTGGAGTGCCCAAGTTTTCCCATGCCTGGTGCAGATGCATCCAATGGATCCTTGTATGTGTCATAAATGACTGTTCAATAACTTTAAAGCATAGATTCTTTTTATTGCAATTTCCAGTGTGAGAGGGTAGATCAGATTACAGAAAAACATTTAGACATACAGACAGAGAGATTCTATGCAACTACACTGGATTTGCAATTACATGGCTAACAAACAAACAAAGGTGAATTACTGGGTTGTTGTAGGTTTTTCCGGGCTATATGGCCATGTTCTAGAGGCATTTTCTCCTGACGTTTCGCCTGCATCTATGGCAAGCATCCTCAGAGGTAGAATTACATTTTCACTCAGCATTCACACACATGTACATGCTTTCATCCTCATGCACCCAAATATTATTATATTCTTTTCTCCCTCCTTGGAGAAGCACCTGCTAGGCCAGACCCTGCTTTCCTGCAGCCTCCCAACACATAGTTCCAAAATTTCCATAATGTCAAAATTATTTCCCTAAGCACAATGCCAAGGACCAGATCTCTGTTTTCCATACAGCAGAACCTGACTCCCTGCACAAAATCAAAGACTCCAAAAGCGCACTTCTTCCTCTTCCCTTGAGAAAGAAGCCCCAAAGTGTCCAGAATCATGTTTTCCCATAGCATATCTGACACTCTCCGAATACACCAGTGGTTCTCAACCTGGGGTCCCCAGATGTTTTTGGCCTTCAACTCCCAGAAATCCTAACAGCTGGTAAACCGGCTGGGATTTCTGGGAGTTGTAGGCCAAAACACCTGGGGACCCACAGGTTGAGAACCACTGGAATACACCATCTCTCTCCTTCCCATGGAGTAGAGCATGGCGGGTGAACCAGACTCCTCAGGTCTGCCACACTTTGCGCATCATTAGATTGAGTCTTTTATAGGAATATTCTGTTGATGTCGTCCCAAAGTTGTAAATGAATGATAGACATCTTCCATCCTGGATCCATCTCAGTTTCCTGGCCAGATGTTGATTCTTCTTAATTATTGTTGACAAACACAAGGTTTGCGTTGACTTCCTTCTTAACATAAGGAAGGTTACAAACATTTCCTTTATCACTGTCCCGTTCTTATCAGATTACTTTTCAGATCTCATTAGCAGGTTTTATCCACATTCCAGCAAGCAGGCAGTTAGTCATTGCAGGCCTTAATATTATACTGGTGTTTCCAAAATTATTAACTCCAACCACACATCCTTCCATTCTTCCATTCATTCCCACACATCATATTAAATTCACATTTGTCAAATCTGCACATTTCTTGTGACAATATGGCTGAGAAAGGCAGGCCATAAATGTCACAAATAAATAAATAAATAATTTACGATGCCATAAAAATCTCCAGCAGCATGCAAAAGAATGAGGAAGTACTCCATCAGTGTCACAAGTGGAAAGGGAAGCAACAGCTCCCCCGGTGCCCAGAATTCAAAGCATACCCTCATGAAGCTGGAAAATTAAATAGCCTCTGTATGTCTGTCTATATATGCTGTGTGTCTATGGCATTGAATGTTTGCTATGAATATGTGCATTGTGATCCACCCTAAGTCCCCTGTGAGGGTGAAGGACGGAATATAAATACTGTAAATAAATAAATAAATAAATAAATATATGTTCATATAGCCATTGAAAGGAAGATGGCAAGACACTTTTTTTTCAACTTGTGCATAAATATTAATTTTATTGTCGAAGGCTTTCATGGCCGGAATAACTGGGTTGTTGT